AAAAAGTGACGATTTTGTAAACACTTGCCTAGTTTAGGTCATCTTTTCGCGGACCACTAGGGGGCGATGGCGGACCACTAGTGGTCCGCGGACCACACTTTGAGAATTACTGCACTAGCTCATTAACATATATTTACATATCAACACCTATTACTACACTGGTAAACAGAGGTTAGCCAATCACAGCAGAGAATTTACATATACCCCGGCAAAAAACTATGAAAAAAATGATGCCTGTTTTTGGTGCATGAATCCTGAAATAATAAGTAGATTTTAGGTTCTAGGTTTAAAGACAAACTAAAACATTCGTGTTTTATTATTTTACATCTCTCCTAAAACATCAATTTAAATAAATATAAAAAGAAAGGAATACATAACTAAATAAATACATAATTTAAAAAAAAAATAATATATATATTATAATTTTATATATATAAATTATTATGAATATATGACTTGATAAAACAAAAAAATTGTTTAATTAAATTAATTTTATTCAATTATTTTATTTAATATATTTTATTAATTATTATTATTATTATTATTTTATTATTTATTATTATTATTTATTTTACATTTATTTTTATGTTTATTTCATGTGTTTTTTACTATACAAAAACAAATAAAAAAGTTGAAATAAAAGTGGGAATATTTAAATATGAAAAAACACATGAAATAAACATAAAAATGTAAATAATAATAATAATTAATAAAATATATTAAATAAAATAATTTAATAAAATTAATTTAATTAAACAAGTTTTTTGTTTTATCAAGTCATATATTCATAATAATTTATATATATATATATATATAGTACATATATAAAATATATACACACACACACACACAGTTTATGTATGTATTTGTGTTTCTGCAGGTTTCCTCACATGGATTGGTGGAAACACTCACCGGCTTTGGGATTGTCTGGGTTTTTATCCGGATGGCAGGACAACGCTTTCTGTCTGTACGCTTTCTTGATCTGTAACACACAGTTCTGTGTTAAAATCACCATGTTCATCTGTGCATTTAATATATTACTGATCACATTCTCTGTTCTTTCTCGTGCAGTTGTTTCACACACACACACACACACACACACACACACACACACAGTCATTATACCAAATGTTTTGCATAACTCCAGACAAAGGGACACGGAGCTCCAGTTTCCTGGAAGGCATAAAGCATGTTTTATAACAATAGACTGCGGTCACATCACATCACTCGAGTCTCTAAAACACATCACTGTCAAACTGCACACGCGCACATGTGGAACACACACTGCACCACAACAAGAGCCACTTCAGCCAGCGCGTCTCAAACATGACACACACACACACACACTTGAATATGTGTGCATTCACAGCTCTGTCTGTATGCCACAAACTCCCAGGAGTCTTTGGGAATGTGAACCGCACGTCTCATTGGTCCCGTTGGCCGAGTTCATGACAACTGACAAACGCTGAAACTCACTGATGCTCAAATCCACACACGAGTGAGAGTGTGTGTGTGTGTGTGTGTGTCCCTGATCTCTAAACATACATTACCAGTCAAAAGTTTTGGATCGGTAAATGTTTTTTTGCTTTTTATAAAGAAGTCTCTTCTGCTCAACAAATCTGCTTTTATTTGATGTAAAAAAAAACTGTAATATTTTGAGATATGATTATAATGTAAATCATCTGTTTTCTATGTGAATATATAGTGAAGTGTAATTTAATCCTGTGATTAAATCAATCATTACTCCAGTCTTCAGAGTCACATGACCCTTCAGAAATCACTCTAATATGAGGATCTGATGATCAAAAAACATTTATGATTATTATTATCATTTATTTGATGAAAATACAGCTTTGAACACAGGAATAAATTACACTTTATGATTGCAAAATATAGTTTCTTTCGGCATCGACAGCCTCGAGTGGTGTCCGTGTGTGTGACTGCAGCGCCACCTGCTGACCAGCACACACACACACACACACAACCGGCCCCTTAAAACACACACACACACACACACACACACACTCCAAACAACCTCACTTTGGGCAATATTATACATCACATCACTTCTGTCCTGCCTTCAATATCTGTGTATTCTTACTGAAATCAACCATCAAAACAGGCGATATGATTCTATAATGTCTAAAACTATTTTTACGATGCTTATATAAAATAATTAAAAGTATATCATTATAAACTTGTTATAGACGCAAAATAAAATACTAAATATGACCTAGAAGAAAAATCATATATTGAACATGACCTAAACTACATAAATGTGTCATTTGATATGTAAACAACACTTCAGTTTCATGTACTCATACACTCTGGACACCAAATACTCCCTCTATAATCTTCTCCACCAGTGATACAGGCGACACTGTTACACAGTTGTTTGGTTGTTATTGTATATATTTTCATTCATCATAATTAATATCTGATTTATTTATTGATGTGTGCAGCGATGCTAATATTAATGAGCACAGCTCTCAGACTAACGCACCTGTTTCTCTGTTGCTGTCGATTCAATACCCAATAACGCGTAAAGATCCATCTCTAAAAGCTCCTTTGTTGACGTCATGATTTAATTTGACAAAATAAAACAATAAACGCGTAAAAATAATATCCTTGAGCTCCTCAGCGGTAGTTTGAAGACTTCTTCTGTGTGACTCGGAGTGTGTCTGTGAGAGCAGCGCAGCGCCCCCTGCAGCGCGGGAGGAACGAGTGCTGGCGAAGCTCGTTTACGTGGATTTTGTTTTAATACTTAATAAATATGTGCTTATATGTAATATAAAATGTACTTATAATGCAAAATAATTGAGAAGCACATAGTTTCATGCACAGTATCAAACTGTCTATAATGACAGAAGCATTAAAAAAAATACATATGTTATTCCCGACAGTATTGGGTTAAATCAGACAATATACAGGTGAAGAAGACATGCGGCATTAAAATGAGATGCATGGGTTTCATTCATTCTTTAAGTCATTAAAAAAAATTATGTAATGGCAGTCACATACAAATAATAAACATGACAATAATCCAGCATAGTGTCCAAATATATTTTCTTGATTGAATAGCCTACTGTCCTGCATGTGTCAGCTGACTCAGCCTAGCTCGTGCTCCATCAGCTTTTCTCAGATATGCGTGACGCTCACAGAGATTTACTAATAAAATAAATATGACATGTCTTGGCCTTATCATACATAATTCACATCAAAACCAAACAATTTCTTTTATATATTGTATATACATTTTCTTTTGTATATATACATATATATATATATATATATATTGCATATAATGCAAAATACAATATATAAAAGAAATTATATATTCTATATATATTCTAAATTATATATTCTATATATTCTATAATTATATATAATATATTTATATATATATATATATATATATATATAGGCTATATTCATGCATTTTTTAAATAAGAAGTTTATATATTATATTTTTATTTCATTTAACTTTATATAATTGTATATAGTTTAAAATAAGTTTAAGTTTAAATAAGATTTATTTATTTAATTAAGAATAAATAAGTTTATTCATTTATGTGTGTGTAATTTTTTATTTTAATTTTAATGAGAAATATTCATATATAGCCTACATAGCAAAAAATGTAAATACCATTTAATTCAATCAAACTTTAGAGTTTTAGATCAGGAGTAGAGGAGATAAGGATAATTATAGTGTTGTTTAAAGGTCTGCTGCATACTTCTTCAATCTTCAGTATACCAGCTTGTTTCCCCACGTAATAATTATTTAAATATAACTTTTTTGCCTCACAATTCTGAGTTTTTTCCCCCAAAATTGTGAGTTTAAATACTGAAACACGACGATTATAAATTGCTTTGAATTCTGTTGTTGGCTAGTAGGAAAGCAATAACCAGAAGATGGCCAAGTGATTTGATGCCTGAAGAATGTGTAGATGTAATGCTAGCATTTATAATATGGAAAAGCTAACTGGTCCATAAGATTGGAAGCCGATAAATTTAACAATATCTGGAAAGGATGGCTTGAATATATTAAGCAACATAGAACGGATTTTGTTCGAGACGTGGTAAGGTCTGAATGTTTATGAATAGGCTATACCTCTTAAATGAACTATGTAGATGAAGAAAGCAAATTTACTATGCTGCAAGGATTGTCACATGTGAATAATACATACCATACCCCGGCTCCAAGCTACAATATTATTGTATTTTTTGTTGGTGTTTTTTTTTCTTTGGTTTGTGTTTCAAAAATGAATGTCTTATCATTAAGGGATTTCAAGGTTTTTCTGTAAAATTTCTGTTTTTCTGTAAAATTTCTGTTTTTCTGTAAAATACTGTGAAAAAAACAACAATAAAATATAAATAGAAAAAAAAAATACTGAAACACAGACTTTTTTTTGCAATTACGATGTTATCTCAAAATTTCGCCTTTTCCACAGTTGTGAGTTTATTTAGCAAATTTTTATCTCGCAATTCTGACTTTTTCTGCAATTGCAAGTTTATATCTCACAAATATTCTGACCTTTTCCGCAATTGCAAGTCTAAATCTCGCAATTCTGACTTTTTTTCTTACAATTGTGAGTTTATATCTCGCAATTATGATTTTTTTTCCGCAATTGCAAGATTATATCTCACAATATTGATTTTTTCTCTTACAATTGTGAATTAATATCTTTTTTCTCACAATCCTGGCATTTTCTCTAAATTACAAGTTTGTGACTTTATAATACACAATTGCAAGTTCTAAAGTCCAATTTTGAGGAAAAAAAGACAACAATTGTAAGTTTGCATCAAACAATTCTAACTTTTTAACACATAATTCTGAGATAAATAGAAAAGGTCAGAATTGTGTGCAAAAAAAATATTTTTTATTCAGTGGCTGACACAAGATTCCACAGCGCACTGATACACTGTGTACTCTTTAGTATGCAGTGCTCCAGTATCCCAGTGCGAGTTAAGCCACGCCCCGCTAGTCTCGGGGGGCGTGGCCAGCACATGTGTCAGACGCAGCACAGCAAGAGTGAGTCAATTCAACCATCTCACTCTCATCCACCCAGAATGTTTCAAACTCTCAGGAGAAACACCCGCATGTGTGTCCTTCTCCTCACATCAGTGCTCCTCTGCATCACACCATAAAGGACATTCACTGAATCAGGTAGGACAAGTCCCTATTTCACCTCTTTATGATTGCTTTTGACCATGCAAACACATCAGAGTAGAGAATTCGTTTCAATAATCTGCAATATTACTTTAGTAGAGTCCTAAATCTGTGTTATGCATCATGCATATGGCGACGGGAGGAGGAATCGCCATGTTTGTGAGATGAAGACTCAGTGTCGGTGGCTTGTGTTGTTGAGATTCATCTACTGAACATCTGAGCACGGATACAATCACAGCTGCGTTTATATGAAGCCAAACAGCTGAAGTCATGTGTCATGAACGTGTTTGTGTGTGTCGTTTGTGTCATGAACATGTTCGTGTGTGTTGTTTGTATCACTCTGAGGGTTAACAGTTTGTTTTCATCGAAGAAAAGTTACAGTGTCTGCTCTGTAAAGATGGTTTTCACAGAACTGCCATCGTGGCAGTCATTCGGAGCCTTGAGTGTTCTTGTCCCAGTCTGGGTCAGACTCTGGGATTGACTGGACTGGACTGTGTGGGTGTAATGCATCAGCATCAGTGTGGGAGGTGTGTGTGTGTGAAGATCAGATGTGTAGGAGAGGCTTCTGAAGAGCCTCAATCCTCTCACTTCTCCCTGTTGAACGGGAGAAAAGTCTTAAGGGTTTGGCGATACAAATGTGGTATCGATCCATCCGATTAGCAAGTAAATGGAAAAGGATCGCCGATACTTCTTACTTTTAAAATAATGTACTTTCCTGAAGGGGAAAGCAGTGTCATGATTTTTTTAAGTGAATGCATTAATATTAATATGCTAAATTTGAATTCATTTTCATGACCATAAAATATTTTGTGATTTGTTGACGCAATTAGTCAAATTAGTTTTTTTTTTGGTAAAACTCAACAACATTTTTACCCAACAATTTTTTTTTGGTTAAAAATTAACAACAATCTCAAACAAAATCTCAACAAAAAAGATTCCTAATGGGCATTTTTTGCATAAATTCAATAGAAGAACCATTTTTGGTTCCTCAAAGATCCTTTCAGTGATTAAGAACCATTTTTTTCCATAGTATATTATATTAGTCTTATATTATATGGACTAAATCTGGACTTTTCACACATTATTCGCAAGTTTGTCACAAACACACGTGATTGTATTGGAAACACAGCAGGTTCTTCATTGAATCATACATGCCAATAAAGTAGTATTTTGTCAGTCGCTGGTCATTTGTTGTAGTTCTGACCGTAACTATTGATTTCAAGTGTCTGCCAAGGCAAATATGGGCATAAAGGTGAAACTCAAAGAATGAGAATATGGTGCAAAGTTCATTTATTTCAGTAATTCAACTTAAAAGGTGAAACTAATATATTATATAGACTCATTACATGCAAAGTGAGATATTTCAAGCCTTTATTTGTTATATTGTTGATGATTATGAAAACTTTTCACAATATTCAAATTTTGTATTTGGGGTTTTAAGCTGTAATCCATAATCATCACAATTATAACAAATAAAGGCTTTCCTTGAAATATCTCACTTTGCATGTAATGAGTCTATATAATATATTAGTTTCACCTTTTAAGTTTAATTACTGAAATAAATGAACTTTTTGCAGCTTATTCTTGTTTTTTGAGTTTCACCTGTATATGCATATATTATACGTTTATGAGGCGATGCATCAGTGTTTTTATTGTTCTGAATGATGTCTAAATCTCCTGTTGATTATGAATAATTATAAAGTGAGAGGGTGGCGAGAGTGTTTAGTTTATTGAGGTTGAACAATAGTCATCAAGCTTTGCTCTCTGCATGCTGTTATCATATTCTGGCACGATGCATGGTGTTTTATGTAAGTGTGTGTGTATTAAATGGCTCGTTTGCGTCTGACAGGAAACTGCTGCTGTTGTTCCCATTAGATTGTGTCATGTAATCGACAGCCGGGAGAGGAGAACGCGTGAGATGAGCGAGCCGTGAAGTCTCTGCACTTATATGGCTCTCTCCACTATTGAGCAACTCGTTTCACATCATCTCACAATATTCGCAAGTTTGTCACAAACACACGTGATTGTTGTTCATTTCGCCCATGACCTCTAGCTCAAGGTCAGCACAGAGAAGAAGATGCTTTAGTGTCTGCATTTCTTCAGAGAAATAACCTTCAGATGTTTATAGAGAAAACATAACAATACAGGGTTTTTGGAAAAGAAGAAACGTTTTTTTGTTGCAATATTTTCATGACGGTTTCACCTGCAAAAATAGCAAAGCAATTGGGTTTTAAAAGTTACCTTAAAATGGTAAAATGATTAGTAAAGTAATGTGGTATTTATTGTGCCATTATTTCTCTAGACAACTCCATCTCTAACAAATAGCTATGCAATTTGTTTTTTAAAGTTAAAATCTCACAATTCTGACTTTTTTTCTCAGATTTGCACTTTTAAATCTTGTTACTAAAGTTGTAAAGTCTAATTTTGAGGAAAAAAGACAACAATTGTGAGTTTGTATTTAACAATTCTAACTTTATAATGCACAATTCTGTAAAAAAAAAAAGAAAGAAAAATGTTTTTGAGCTAAAAAAAAGCTCAAAAATACTAACCCTTTTTATTTGTTATTCAGTGCGGCGGAAACACGCAGTGTTAAAAAACAACAACAATTCAATTCGTTTTTTAAAAGTTAAAATGTTAAAATGAAGTCTTAATATTAGCAATGCAATTTTATAAGGTTAAAAAATGATTATCAAAGGAAAATAATCATGAAAATCAGTGTATTAATAATCCTGATAGTAACATATAATGACTTATATAATCTGTTTCAGCGGCATAGGTTTGATTTTGAAATTGACGGGGACATCAAAAAATAAATATATTTGAAGTTTTGAAAGAAATGATTGCTAGGGATATATCAGTGTCACTGGATATTGGTAGGACACGTCCCTCGCGTCCCTACTGAACTCTACGCCCAATGTTGTGTAGAAATATGACCTGATTTTGACTTTGAGGCTTTTGAAGACGTGTTTCTCATTGTTCTTTGAGTTTCCCTTCAAGTGAAAGCCTTTCCGTCCGGGCTGGAAGTGTGTGTGTGTGTGTGTGTGTGTGACCCGAGGGCTGAAGTTTTCAGGCCTGTAGAGTGACGAAGTGAAGCACATTCCAGTCTCTCTCACACACACACACACACACACACACGAGAGATTCTTACAGGAATGTTTGCGCAATTTGTCCACAGGCAGGGAGTGTGTGTGTGCTCAATCTCATGTGAGGGCTTTTACACAACAGTGTGTGAGGATGAGGGCCAAATAGGGGCTTTTACACAACAGTATGATTGGCAGTTCATCAGATTGTGTGTGTGATTTCTATCAGCTTCAGGGATGAGGGTGTGAGTGGGATATCGTGTACAATAATATCTCGATTGTTGTTTTTAGAGATGTGTCATTATCTGATATTATGTCTCTCACAGAAACACACACATTCACAACGTGATGTAGTCTAGGTACAGTGTGTGATTTACTCTATTAAAACTAGAGCTGTCAAACGATTAATCGCACACAAAATAAAAGAATATGGTGCTAAAGTTCGTTTATTTCAGTAATTCAGCTTAAAAGGTGAAACTAATATATTATATAAACTCATTACATGTAAAGTGAGATATTCCAAGCCTTTAATTGTTATAATTGTGATGATTATGGCTCACAGCTTATGAAAACCTTTCCACAATATTCGAATTGTAAGCCATAATCAGCGACATTATAACAAATTAAGGCTTGAAATATCTCAGTTTGCATGTAATGAGTCTAATATAGTAGAAATAAATGAACTTTTGCACCATATTCAAATTTTTTGAGTTTCCCCTGTGTGAAGAATATCAATAAATTAGGAGGTTCATTGTAACATTTCTTAGTGTTCATTCTTCACATTCACTTTAAATCCACATTACGGGAATGTCTGGAATGTTCCTGCACTCTCAGAAAAAAAGGTACAAAAGCTGTCACTTGGGCTGTACCTTCTTAAAAGGTAAACTTGTGTCCATGTTAGGTGCTAATATGTACATTGTAGGTGCTAATATGTCCTTTTCAGGAGCTAATATGTCCATTTTAGGTGCTAATATGTCCATTTAGGTACTACTAATATGTACATTTTAGGTGCTAATATGTCCATTTAGATACTACTAATATGTACATTTTAGGTGCTAAGTACATTTTAGGTGATAATATGTCCATTTCAGGAGCTAATATGTCCATTTCAGGAGCTAATATGTAAATTTTAGGTCCTAATATGTCCATTTTAGGTGCTAAGTACATTTTAGGTGATAATATGTCCATTTCAGGAGCTAATATGTACATTTTAGGTGCTAATATTTAGGTGCTAATATGTACACTTAGGTACTAATATGTACATTTTAGGTGCTAATATGTACATTTTAGGTCCTAATATGTACATTTTAGGTGCTAATACGTACATTTAGGTACATTTTAGGTGCTAAGTACATTTTAGGTGATAATATGTCCATTTCAGGAGCTAATATGTCCATTTTAGGTGCTAATATGTATTTTTTAGGTGCTATATGTACATTTTAGGTGTTAATATGTCCATTTTAGGTGCTAATATGTACATTTTAGGTGCTAATATGTACATTTTAGGTGCTAATATGTACACTTAGGTACTAATATGTCCATTTTAGGTGCTAATATGTACATTTTAGGTGCTAATATGTACATTTTAGGTGATAATATGTCCATTTCAGGAGCTAATATGTACATTTTAGGTGCTAATATGTACACTTAGGTACTAATATGTACATTTTAGGTGCTAATATGTACACTTAGGTACTAATATGTACATTTTAGGTGCTATTATGTACCACTAAGGTACCAATATGCAGCCTTTGGGTACAAAAGTGTACTTTTTGAAAAGTTACAGCCCCAGTGACAGCTTTTGTACCTTTTCTTCTGAGTGAAACACGTCTCGATCTAAACCGCTTTGAGCTGAAGTCGTGTTTTCCCTCGGCCGAACGAACTGGGCCAGAAAGAGGAAAAATGAATCCAGTGCCAAAGATGGTCTGGCACTTTAGTTTGGTTGTGGCATGACGGCTCTTTTGTCCACAGTCGATGCGCTGACGGGACAGATTCCAGCGCTGGTGTGTGTGTGTGTGTGTGTGTGTGTGTGAATCAGATATGGAGTCTGAAGTAGAGATAGGGTTGAATCAGCAGTTTAGATGGATACGGCTGGATGTGCAATAGACGTTATGTAACAAACACGAGTTTATGTTAAGAAGTCAAGGATCTTCCGAAATACTCTTGCTTTTCTCTTTTAAAGGGATACTCCACCTTTTTTGGGGGGGAAATAGGCTCATTTTACAACTCCCCCAGAGATAAACTGTTGAGTTTTACCGTTATTGAATCCATTCAGCCGATCTCCGGTTCTGGCGGTACCACTTTTAGCATAGCTTAGCATACATCATTGAAGTGGACAAGACCATTAGCATTTCTCAAAAAAGAGTTTCGATATTTTTCCTATTTAAAACTTGACTCTTCTGTAGTTCGTGAACTAAGACCGAATCAAGAATCAGCTCGGTAACTTCCAACGTTCCCGGGACTAAGTTTGTGTAGTTATGTTGATGTCATATCATTACGCCTGCTGCACTCATGGTACGGCAGTAAAGTGTCTTGATTATTACGCAGGAATGAGAGTATAGCTCTTAGCCATATCAGCCGAGAAAATCGCAACTTTATATTTTCCGTCTGCTGTTTAAACAGGAAAAATGTCGAAACACTTTGGTCATTTTTTTTTTTTTTTTTGAGAAATGCTAATGGTCTTGTCCACTTCAATGATGTATGCTAAGCTATGCTAAAAGTGGTACCGCCAGAACCGGAGATCGGCTGAATGGATTCAATAACGGTAAAACTCAACAGTTTAACTCTGGGAGAGTTGTAAAATGAGCCTATTTAACAAAAAAAAAAAAAAAAGTGGAGTATCACTATCCCTTTAAGCGGCTGATTTGGAAAATTAAGTTGTTTGTTGTAGCAATCGACCAGTGTTTTTAAAAAGTCTCTTCTGCTGAATTTATTTAAGCAAAAATACAGTAAAACAGTGAAATATTATTATAACGTAAATCATCTGTTTTCTATGTGAATACATATTAAAGTGTAATTTATTCCTGTGGTCAAATCAATCATTACTCCAGTTTTCAGTGTCACATGATCCTTCACAAATCACTCTAATATGAGGATCTGATGATCAAGAACTTGATATTTTTGATGATTCTTTGATAAATATAAAGTTCTAAAAATAACAGCATATATTTGAAATCAAATCTTTTGTAACATTATAAATGTCTTTATACTGTTTTGATCAATTTAATGTGTCCGTGCTTTTCTATTAAAAGTCCTCCTGACCGCAAACTTTTGGACACACATATACATAAAGATGCTCAATTAAAATGTGTTTTATTTGTCATAAAAAAATAAGTACCCGCCTCCACTCACTCACTCAGAGATCCTCTGGTTGACGATCACACGTTGATCTGATTGGTTACGTGTTTTTGAGACTGTGTCTTTTAAATAAATTTATGAAAAGGTTGAAGTTGCTTAACTTATTTTGGTGAGTTAAAGCAATGTAAAAACATGTCATAACTTAGGCTATTATAATTTCCAGTACATGATTAGTTTATGGGTGCGTTCCTGTAATGCTTTCAGCACATATTTAACAGATATGCTTCATAATTCTTAAGAAAGGGCTTTAATCATTACCGGTACTCTGTAAAACACTTATTGGACCAACGTGAGTCAGAAACTGGTCTGAACCTGCGTGAAGAAAGAGGAGAAAAGCTCATAGTTGTGCGAGTCTGGACTGATCATCCATCTGCTTGTGGTTTTATTCTTCCTTCCTGTGCTTTAATTTCCTCTAAATATGGGCCGTTCTCCTCCATATCAGTGTCAGCGTTTCTAAACTCCTGAAACGCCTCCATTATATCTTCAGTTTCGAACACGTCACAATATTCCCCATTATAATAATTAATGCGCAGAATAAAGGGGCGGGGCCTGGTTAGTTAGTAGTGTGTTAAACTGCCAGTTATGGAAAGGGGCGGGGCATTTCCAAAACACACTCAAAGCGATCAACCAATCACAACACACTGATCCAGCCGACCAATCAGAGCACAGTGTGCTTTTCAGGAGGAGGGGCTTCATAGAGACAGGAAGTAAACAGAGCGTTACTGACAGACTGGGAAGAGAGGAGCCGCAACAATGGAGAATATGAGAGCATCAGAGGTCCTTTGTATTCATCATGCGTTTTGCTGCTTAGAAGTTGCTTTATATGTATGACCAGCACCAAATGTGGAGTAATGACTCTTTTCTAGCGTAGAATATGCTGTTTGTCAAATATTTATTTCAGTATTTTACCCCATATCGTTCGAAATCAGTTTTCATTACAATATTCATTTCATACAATAATGGGGAAGAAAATGCATTAATCCCATCTTATTTTTATTTATTTATTTATTTATTTATTTATTTATTTATTTTTTTAACAAAATTCTTTGTTTTATGTTTCAACACAAATTTATCATCAAAAATCATCTAAAGAAATGAATTCATGAAACGTTAACAGTTAAATGTTTTTTTTACATTGAAATCACATGAAAAATAACAAATAATTTACAGCAAAAACATTGCATTTTTATTTTTTGTCGAAACAGTTCTACACAACAGAACTTGCATACTGTATAAATTATAACAAATGAAGAAATATCATGGTTTTATATATATATTTTATATTATTTATTAGTATTAAATAAGATGCTGAGCAACAGAACTTGCATATTGTTTGAGCTACATTAAAATGGATGAGAATATTTCTTGGTTTTATGATATTCATTATAACAAGTTATTAAGCTATTATATTAATAATTTATTAAAACATAACATTGATTTATTAATGTGACCTGACCACCCTACATATAGTTGGGTCACATAAATATTAAATTATTTGTATATATTATTATTATTATTATTTTACCTACATAAGACTATTTCCGTTTAGATGTAATATATCTTTTATGTAAATGACTTAATGAGTTTGAACTCTGAGTGGCGGTTGGAAGAGTAGAGTTACCATGACGATTGCCGCCATCCTTCCTCAGACATACCGCTATTTACTGCTAAGGTTTGTTACATTCATTAAATTTACATCACACTGTAATTGTTTTAATGTCCAAATAACTTGTTTAAATTGTTTTTATTAATAATTTAAGATGCTTCTGTTCTGTCAGAGAAGTCCATTCGTGTAGGCCTAGCTGCTAGTTACCCATTTACCTGGTCTTGATTTATTAACGTTATTTACTTATGTGATTTGATCTAAGTATCTGTCTATGTATTATTTATTTCAACATATTTATAAATACTGTCAGAGAAAGTCCGTAGACGGGCTTTTATACTGTGATTCAAAGTGTCTTAATGACTCGTCTCGGAGTCGGAAGCACACAATGTTTAACAGACAACAAAGAGCATGTTTTTAAGCAGCCCCTAACTCTAGTCTTTCTCCGTTTTTAAACTGGGCCGTTCACACAGAACACATCTTTGCGTCTAAAAACGCAAGACTTGGATCGCACCGCTCAGGAACTGGTTAAAAACGAACGCGTCGCGAGGGTCTCGAGCTCGAGACGCACCCTCTATGAGACGCACACGCTACTCTCACAATGCTTGCCCCGCCTCCGGGCTTTTCTGATTGGTCCACTATTTTGAACTGACATTGATGAGCGGCAGGTTTTTTGGTCAAGTAGATTTTTTTCCCTTCACATTTTATTTAAAGAAATCTGTTTTATTCAGACAAATTGCCAAACGCTCTGTTGAAGAAAATGGCTCTCTGTGGATCCTTTTTTTTTTTTTTTTTTTTTTTTTTTATTGAACACAAAGCACAGGGGATACTCTCTGTGGATCCTTGAGATTCTAGGTTTGACTGTGTCACCTGGAACCGGTCGCTGTGGAAACGGAGCTTTTTGGGTATTTTTGGGTATTTTTAATCAAATAAATGCAGCCTTGGTGGTAGAAGAGACTTATTTTAAGTCTTACCAATCCAAAACTGTTGCTCAGCACCTTATTTAATTATAATAATAAATAAATGTAATGTTTTAATAAATTGTATCATTATTATTACTTTTAAATGTACGTTGTGCTACACAATATTTCCTTCATAATTTATATAGTTATAGTTGAGCTGATCTTTTATTTTGGTGGTCTGTCATGAAGAGCTTTGAGCTTCTGTGTGCGCAGATGAAAGTATTACTGTTATGGGCTCTATGCACGGCGTTATTTCCGGTGAAGGATTAAGGATGCTCGATAACTTCCGCTGATCATAGAGTCCAATGCATACCGAGAATTTATATTGAATTGGTTATACTAATGAAACGTTAGTCACAAAAACAGATAAAACAGACACCCCTCGTTGTGTTTATGCTTCTTTTTAAAATTATATTAAATAAACATAACTATATATAAAATTACATCTAAACGTATGTACGTTTCGTTTCAAAGACGGGAGGACAGTAAATATTGAAGACTCTGCCATAATCCCGTTTTCTCCGGTTTTCCTCCGCTTTAATCTCCACAACCGGAAATGGATGATCATCCTTACGTCAAATGCGGAACTTATGCGTGCACATAGCCCATTGTCTGTCTAATTGTTTTCTCTGCTTTTTGTCTTCGCAGCGCCTTCCTCTCTCCTCATCTTCATCATGTCTGTGAAGTCTGACGGCGTGCAGAAGAAGTGGTTGGCTGTGAGAGGTCGCCTGGGCTCGTCTCAGGACTCGGACGGCTCTCAGGAGGCTAACCTGGAGAACGCCGAGGCCGAGCTGTGCATTCGTCTCCTGCAGGTGCCCAGCGTGGTCAACTACTCCGGCCTGAAGAAGCGTCTGGAGAAGAGTGACCAGGCCTGGATGGGTCAGTTCCTGGAGCTCTCGGGCCTGGACCTGCTTCTGGAGGCGCTGGACCGGCTGTCGGGTCGCGGATGCTCTCGGATCGCGGACGCTCTTCTGCAGCTCACGTGCGTTAGCTGTGTGAAGGCCGTCATGAACTCGTCCGCTGGGATTCACTTCATCATGGATAATGAGGGATACGTGCGCAAGCTGTCTCAGGGTATAAAGAGCCACTCTCACTGTCTTAAAGAGATAGTTCACTTTGAAATTAATTTTTGATATGTTTTATCTTACCTCAATGTCACCCAAGATGTAGGTGTCTTTGTTTCCACAGTACTTTCAATTTTGATATTTTTAGGTCAAACCGTTGTTGTCTATCAGTCATATAATGGAGGTCTATGGTCACCACCTCAAAGAGCATGCACAGAGAAGTCCAAATTAAACATGATTTTGATGATGATGAATGATGATGAACATGATGAATGACTCGTAAATGTAAGTACACATTGATGGCCTAAGACACGAAACGAGCGGTTTGTGTGAGAAAACCAACAGTATTTATATAGTTTTTACCTCTGTAACCACAGCCACGTCCAAGTGATCTTTCAAGCGTTGGAAGTGATCTCTCGTGGGTGTACGTCACTCATTGTTTACACAGAGATTTGGGAAGCGTTACCTTTCACTGTGAAGATCTAAATATATTTAGATATACAGGAAATCGCAATATCAATATCAACAGACAACGTTGAATTTATTCGCAACCGCGCGGGAGATCACTTGGACGTGGCTGTGGTTACAAGAGGTAAAATGATATAAATACTGTTGGTTTTCTCACACAAACCGCTCGTTTCGTGTCTTAGGCCATCAATGTGTACTTACATTTACGAGTCATTCATCATGTTCATCATCATTCATCATCATCAAAATCATGTTTAATTTGGACTTCTCTGTGCATGCTCTTTGAGGTGGTGACCATAGACCTCCATTATATGACTGACAGACAAGAACGCTTTGACCTAAAAATATCAAAATTGAAAGTACTGTGGAAACAAAGACACTTACATCTTGGATGCCCTTGAGGGAAGATAAAACATACCAAAAATTATGTTTAAATTAAACATTTCGGTAACACTTTACAAAAAGGTTAATTAGTTAACTACCTGAGTTAAAGGGATAGTTCGCCAAAAAAATGAAAATTAGCCCATGATTTAGCCTACTCACCCTCTTGTCATCCTAGGTGTTTATGGCATTCTTTTTTCAGACGAATACAATCTGAGTTATTAAAACATTAGTCCTGGCTCTTCCAAGCTTTATAATGGCAGTTAATGGCCGTTTCTGTTTTTAGAAAAATCATGAGTGTCAAATGTAATCATCAGGCTTTTGAGGAACGTGTGGGCAACACTGAAGAAGAAGAGCCTTTGATTTCACTTGTGCTACAATCATTGATTTGGAATTCCATGAATGAAACAATGTTGCATCGGAATTTGTGTCAGTTTCACATGCGAGTTCCGAATGAAACGGCAGCACCAGATGAAACGGAATGTTCAACAATCTTTTTAATGTTTTGTGTTTTGAAACACTAACTTTTCAGATAGTGAAAATGCATTTGAATGTGAGCGAGTCGCTTATATACAACGACCGCCTAATAAAGGCAAGGCAAGGCAAGTTTATTTATATAGCACATTTCATACACAATGGCAATTCAAAGTGCTTTACATAGAAGAAATTAAAATAATCAAAAGAAATCAGAATAATTCAAACAGTTTAGAATAAAAAATAGGAAATAATGAAAAATAAAAATTATGATAAAAATAAAATACAGTAAATTAAAACCATTTAGAATAAAAAATGTTTTTAGAATAAAAAATAAAAGGTGTAGAAAAGTCATTTTGGAAAGGGATTTTGGTCTTAGATGTATATAAAATAGGTATATATTTTAGCTGTGATTTCACAATTTGCCCCATAGAGGGTTATCAACATGTAGGAACAGGTTAAAGGAATAATTCACCCAAATCACTCACTCAAATGTTCACACTCTCTCTTCTAAAATGCAATAGCTGCTAAACGTCTCCACCTGTTGCTTTAAAACTGTGGAGCGACTCGGAAGATCAATTCAGAAAACACACATTCCTACACAGCAGTATCTGCGTTGCTCAACATTCACACCCATCACATGCTTAGACTGTTTTTTTACCCATCATCAGAAGTGCAAAGTTCACATTACATCCCCCCAAAAATAAGCAGCTAACACATCCCAAAAGTGGAGAGGGAGAAAATGATGGTGGAGGAAGCTACAAACTCAGCGTGTGCTTTCCCTTTCCCCGCAGCTTTAGACACGTCCAACACCATGGTGAAGAAGCAGGTGTTCGAGCTGCTGGCGGCCCTCAGCATGTTCTCCTCCGAGGGACACACACTCGCTTTAGACGCTCTGGACCATTACAAGGCAAGTGCTTTTTTGGATTATGACCTTCTGGATGTCTGATATCAGGGGCCGTCATCATCACACTCTTTAATTCATTCACTTTTAAGTCAGTTACATATAAAAACAGTTTTATCTACTAAAAAGTAAGACTGGTCGCCCCTTGACTAACCGTTAGTTGCTCATACTAGTATTAAAGACACAGTCTTAGCATAATAGCTATGTTTATGTGCATGCCCTCAGTCTTTTGTTGTGTCTGGTGTTAACATGCGTCTCGGGTCAGCTGACACACAGCTCGAAAGTGTCTTCTGTGATGAGATTGCATTACTTAATATTTGCTTAATATTAATTGTTTTATTGTTTTTATATTTAGTATTTTCCTTGTAAAGTTTTAACTGCTGTTTCTTTTTAAGGTAGACAATATTAACATCTGTCCAGGGACAATGGGTGAAAAATAGCCTAGTACATTTGCAGTAATGCTAGTTAATGTACACTGTCCCTGTTAAAGAAATAAATAAAATAAAAATAAAAAAATATATCAGTGTGTGGGAAATAGTACAATGTTACTTTAAATACACTTCAGAATTTGCTTGTTTACAGTTACCTGAGAAGCAAAGTGAGAGATGATTTTGAGTCTTGTTTTCATGTATAAAACAAGACAAAAATATCAGTCAGCAGCTCAGAAACATAATCGTGTTGGTTCTTCTGACCCCATTGGCAGATATTTGTTCTTGTTTTTCTTAAGATGCTAAATGGATAAAGAAAGTCTTGTTTTGTGGAAACAAAATGTATCAAAATTAAGTAATTTTGCTTCTCAAGTACATGATCTAGTATCTTAAAGTGATACTCCACTTTTTTTGGAAATAGGCTCATTTTACTTCTCCCCCAGAGTTAAACAGTCGAGTTTTACCATTTTCGAATCCATTCAGCCAATTTTCTGATATTTAGAAAAATATCAGTAACCAGACAGTTTCTGGTCTCATTGACTTCCATAGTATATATTTTTTTCCTACTATGGAAGTCAATGAGACCAGAAACTGTCTGGTTACTGATATTTTCAGTAAAACTCAACTGTTTAACTCTGGGGGAGTTGTAAAATGAGCCTATTTCCAAAAAAGTGGAGTATCCCTTTAATTTGTGCTGAAAAACAAGACAGAAATACTAAAGGTGCGTCCCAAATCACGTACTTGTGCACTATTCTACGCCATTTTGTAGTATAAATAAATTGAGCGAGTAGTGCATGTGTTTTCACTGAAAATTCAAAAGAAAGAGTGCGCTTTAAGTTCCCACTTAATTCACCCAAAAAACGAAGTGTGGAACGTTAGAGATTTCATGCACTCGACTGTCACTTTAATTACGGGCTTTCAGACTCCGATGTTGAAAGACAAAATAAACATATAAAGTTCATACACTACATGCTTAAGTGCAGAGTGTATAAGTGTATAGTGCGTCATGTAAAGGCACAGCTTAAGAAAATGCAGGGCCGATTTCTTTGTATTCTCAGAAAAATGAATTCTTGTTTTCTTAATATGCATCAAAATAAAGTCTTTAAAACCAGAACAAACATCTGCCAATTTTGTTTTAATTTTTCTGGCCCCATTTGAGGATATTTGTTCTTGTTTTAAGCACAAACTCACTATATTTTGATCATTTATCTTGTCATTTTGTTTCTTAATTTAAGAATGTTTAGATATTTGTGCTGTAAAACTGAGTATGTATGTATCATTATTGTACTTCTCCGCTCTTCAGATGACTGGACTGATCTCAACACCAGGAGAGATGGTCTTTAAAGTTAAGATGTCTGAAGTGTGCATGTCATTAGCGGTGATGTGTGACAGCATTGTGTTTTTCTGACAGTCTGTGAAGACGCAGCAGTATCGATTCAGTGTGATTATGGGCGAACTACGAGCCACTGATAACGTGCCCTACATGGTGACCCTTCTGAGCGTCATTAACGCCCTGATCTTCAGCGCCGACGACCTGCGGCAAAGAGACAAGATGCGCAAGGAGTTTATCGGTACATTACACTAAATACTACTGACTGTTCAGTATAAACACTCCACAGTTCCCTACAAATGGACCGTGAGGCTTTTATTAACTATATACTGCAGAACAAGTATGAGTAGTATAGAAGAATGCTATTTAGACACAGCCCTGTAACCCTAATATTACAGAATACTAGCATACTACTGCACAGTGCACTGAATATTTATTAAAAAATAGCTTGTGAAACTGCATTCAGACAGTAGTATGCTACATTGTCACATTTCATTTAATGTTAATCAGAGTTAAATAAATTTCAGTCGGATCACTTAACGAGTTAAGTGTGTTAAAATTGTTGCTTATTGTATATTGAGCATTTCAACCGACTGAATAGGTATCGGTGTGCAACCTATTGTGCATGATAAACATATTGCATACTGCAAATATAATACGAGTAGTATATAATATGATGCAATATGTAGTATGCTATAATAATATGAGGCTTATTGGGCTGAGTGCATTGTACTGAATGCTGCCTGTTATTTATTAAAAATAGCATGTGAAACAGCATGCAGTGTGCATGCATTCAGACAGTAGTATACTACATTTACTATATTGCACATTTTGTGTGTGCAACCTATTGTGCACGATATTTCATACTGCAAAACTATATGATTAGTATAGACGAATGCTATTTAGAACCCACCCTATAACCCTAATATAAAATGCTAGCATGCTAACTGCATAGTGTACACTGAATGTCTTAAAAATAGCATGCATTCAGAAAGTAGTATGCTACATTTATTATATTACTGATTTTGGGTGTGCAAGTTATTGTGCACGGTATACATAATGCATACTGCAAAAATAGTATGAGTAGTATAAAAGAATGCTTTTTAGAACACAGCCCTAATATTATAGAATGCCAGCATACTAACTGCACAGTGTACACTGAATGCTGCCTAAATGTCTTAAAAATAGCATGCATGCAGAGAGTAGTATGCTACATTTATTATATTACAGATTTTGGGTGTGCAAGTTATTGTGCACGGTATACATAATGCATACTGCAAAAGTAGTACGAGTAGTATAAAAGAATGCTTTTTAGAATATTATAGAATGCTACCATACTAATTGCACAGTGTACACTGAATGCAGGTTATTTGTTTAAAAATAGGATGTGAAACAGCATGCAATATCCATAAATTCGGGATTATATTACCTATTGTGCACGATGCTGCAAAAATAGTATGCAGTAGCAAACAGAAGTGATCAAGTCTTAATTGCGTTCACCTGTTTATTACACTAGCTCCGCCTCCTGTTTTGTGTTTTAGCACCACTCAGGTCTCAGCACAGAGCTTTAGATGTTTGTGAGCATTATTTATGGATATTACGTTTATTTTGGTTTATTTCCAGGATTGCAACTGCTTCAACTACTGCCAAAGCTTAGGTGAGTTTCATTCGAATTCATTTAAATGCGCAACAGGAATTTAAACATGAAATAAAACTCGAGTTTGTGTGTGTGTTTTAGAGAAGAGGACGATGAAGACTTGATCATCCAGTGTGAGGCGTTTGAAGAGGCCATGGCTGAGGATGAGGACGAGCTCCTGAGGCTTTATGGAGGAATCGACATGAGCAACCATCAGGAAGTCTTCACAGCTCTCTTTAATAAGGTGAGCACTGTGTTTAATGGTAGTTCTCACTGGTTTCTCTGGAAGTTGGATCAGTAACTCGTGTGTGTGTGTGTGTGTGTGTGCAGGTGAGCAGTTTCCCGTCCTCGCTCCAGCTGTTGTCTATAACACAAGCGCTGCTGCTTCTGGGTCCGGAGCGAGTGGATATCTGGCAGGCGCTGGAGTCGCTGGTGAACCGAGCCTCACTGATCGCCCAGAGCTGTGAGTTCCCATGACGGACGCTCCGGTCTGTTCCTCAGGGAGATCTCGGACCGGCTGATTGGTCTTTGAGTTTGGCTTTATATGAGACATGTCTCGAGGTTTGATCAGAAAGTGTCGTGTCGTTATCACAGCTCTTTTTCAAACCAAGGGGAACTTGCTTGCTCGTTTACATATACATTTACTTGCTAATTTACTTATTTTTGTTTATTTTATTTTTCGCTTGCTTGTATATTTACTTCCAGGTTTATCTATTTACAATTCTTGTTTACTTGCCTATTTACGTATTAACGTAATTTTACTTATTTTATTTACATACACTTATTTATTTGCTATCTTTTTTCTTTGCTTCTTTAATTACTTGTTGATTTACATATTGATTCGCTATGTTTACATATATTAATTATTTATTTACATTTACTTGCATGTATTTACTTATAGATTGACTTATTTGGAATTTAATTTTCTTGCCTATTTACATATTTATTTGCTTATTTACTTGTTTGCATATTATTTTAGTTATTTATTTACTCTCTAATTTACTTATTTTTGTTTATTTTCTTTTTCACTTGCTTGTATATTTACTTCCAGGTTTACCTATTTACAATTCTTATTTACTTGCCTATTTACATATTAACGTAATTTTACTTATTTTATTTACATACACGTATTTATTTGCTATCTTTTTTCTTTGCTTCTTTAATTACTTGTCGATTTACGTATTGATTCACTTTATTTACGTATATTAATTATTTATTTATATTTACTTGCTCATGTTTTTACTTATAGATTGACTTATTTGCAATTTAATTTACTTGCCTATTTACATATTTATTTGCTTATTTACTATTAGATTTACTTATTTGCATATTATTTTACTTATTTATTTACTCTCTAATTTATTTTGAATTGTATATTTATTTTCTTTTTCACTTGCTGGTATATTTACTTCCAGATTTACCTTTTTACAAAATTAACTTTCTTATTTACTTGCCAATTCACAACATACTAACGTAGTAATTTATTTACTTATTTTATTTACATACACTTATTGTTTAGTTATATATTTGCTACCTTTTTTTCTTTGCTTCTTTAATTACTTGTCGATTTACATATTGATTTGCTTTATTTACATATATGAATTATTTATTTACATTTACTGGCTCATGTATTTACTTATAGATTGACTTATTTGCAATTTAATTTACTTGCTTATTTACATATTAACTTACTAATTTATTTCCTTATTTACTATTAGATGTACTTGTTTGCATATTTATTTACTTGCTAATTTACTTATTTTTTTATTATGAATTGTATATTTATTTTCTTTCACTTGTTTGTATATTTACTTCCAGATTTACCTATTTACAAAATTAACTTTCTTATTTACTTGCCTATTTACTTCTATTATTTGCATACACTTATTTTTTTGTTATATATTTGCTACCTTTTTTCTTGTTGGTTTACATATTTATTTACTTATTCATGTGCTTATAGATTTACTTAACATATATTCATTTATTTATTTACATATACATTTAGTCGATTATTTATTGACTTTTCTCATGTATTTATTTATTGTAAGTTTTTGTTTTTGTCGGTAATGTGCTGATGAGGTGTTCTTGTTCTCCGTTCAGCTGAGATGGACTCGTGCGAGAGGATTCTGCAGCGTCTCGTCTTCGCCAAGGAAGCTTCGCCCAAAGGTTCTTCTGAGGTCAACGGTCACCAAAGAAAGAATCAAGCCGTTCAGACTGAGGCGAGAGACGGCAAGCTGGAGTGTTCATGCGGATCAACCAACAACCAAGAACCACAGCGCACCCCCACAAAGTCCTTATCTACTCCTCCACCATCACCTCCTCCACCTCTCAAAACGGGTGCTGGACCTCCTCCACCTCCACCTTTACCAGCACCCGGGATGCTTCCTCCACCACCTCCTCCACCACCTTTACCAGGATCACAGATGCTTCCTCCACCTCCTCCACCGTTACCGGGTATGGGTGCACCTCCACCGCCGCCTCCTCTGCCTGGAATGGGTGCGCCTCCACCTCCTCCTCCACCGTTACCGGGTATGGGTGCGCCTCCTCCACCTCCTCCTCCTCCGGGCATGAGCGACGTGATCGTGGCGAAGACGTTTAATCCGATTGGTCAATGCTACGGTGCACCGGTGAAGAGCGGCCCTTACCCCTCCCTCAGGATGAAGAAACTCAACTGGCAGAAGCTCAACTCCAGAGCGCTTAGTGGTGAGACTAAACCAGCTTAACTGGGAGAAACCCAACTGGTCTGGGTTTGGAACGCATGAGCTGAAAAAATGCATGGCTTAAAATTATGTAAATGCTTTTAAAAAAGAATAAGATGTATTTTTTTGAAGCACAATTATACTGTATATAAAAATATAAATCTTAAAAAAAAATAAAAAATTTAAAGCGCTAGTTTTACATTGTTTTAAGTTAGGGCAGGGTATTGACACCAATTTCACAATTCGATTCAATATTGATTATTGTGGGTATCAGGTACAATACATGGCAAATTTTCTCGCAATAAAAAACAAAAATAAAAAAAAATAATAATAAAAAAAAAATACATTAAAAGTCAACCAACAGCATAAATAAAAAATAATAATAATAATAATAAAAAAAATACATTAAAAGTCAACCAACAGCATAAATAAAAATAAAAACTAATAAAATAAAAAAAATACATTAAGTCAATCAACCGCATAAATAAAAATAAAAAAACATAAAAATAAAAAATAAAATAAAAAAAATACATTAAGTCAATCAACAGCATAAATAAAATAAAAAAATACACATTTACAATAAAACAGAAACACATGAAGTCAATCAACAGCATAAATGCAAAACATTCACATCTATACAAAAGGGTAAAAATAAAATAAAAGGAGCATCAAGTTACAAGTAAACTTACAAAGGAAATAGAAATATACAAAGGAAATAAAAAAACAGTTTACAGCATTAGTTGAGATTTGGAGTCAGTTGTGCTTCATTAGCCTACTATAATATTGAAGGTAAAAATCACCTGATTTGTACACAAACACCTAAATTACACTTTTATTTATTTTATAACAATAATGTTATATGAAATATAAACATTTAAATGGTGGCTGCATAAAAACTTGCCAGATCTTTTCAAAAAACATTCATAAAATATTGAAAAACACTAAATTAATGATGAATATGTAATATGGTGCTTGTATTGTGTTAATTTTTCTAGCTGGCTTACGAGTTTATAGTCACTGGATTTTTTATTTTTTTTTTCTGAGGTAAATTTTACATTACATTGTTTACACGCCATTTGCCGACATCTTTCCACGGTTGAATCACTGATTGAGCGATTATATGTGAAAGATGCGGATTTCGATAAGTTGTACTCTGCACTTTCAGATGCTCGTTCATGTTTATTTCGCGCTGTAATTATTTTGGAAAATTTTTGGTCGCATGTGCGACCTAGAGCCCTGCATATAAATGTATGATTCTATGTATTTGTTAACTAATGCTATTTAAATAACAGTGCAGTTGACGTGTCTGTACGTGGGACATCTGAAGCTGGTTTGCACATGTCTGAGAGTGTGTTTGTTTTTCATTCTTCAAAGTAGACGGTCCTTCCATGTGGGCCTCCGTCCCGAACGCTTCGCTGGAGCCGAACTACAGCAGCATCGAGGAGCTCTTCTGTCTGCCGGTGGCTGAGCCCAAAGACAAGAGCCCGGCCGCCCCCGTCAAGAAGGAGCTCAAAGAGGTTTGGAGTCTAATAATGCACAGTAGAGTTCATTTCACAGGGAATGCATGAACTGAGGGAATTCTTTTAAGAGTCACATTGGATAAAAACACCTGCCAAATGCGTTCACTGCTCCTCAAGGCTGCATTTATTTAATCAGAAATACAGTTTTCCATGTGAATATATAGTAAAGTGTAATTTATTCCTGTGATCAAATCAATCATTACTCCAGTCTTCAGAGTCACATGATCCTTCTGAAATCACTCTAATATGATGATCTGATGCTCAAGAGACATTCGTTTATAAATGGTGAAAACGGTTCAGATTCATGTGAAAACTCAATCAATTGAATGTGTCCTAGATAAAGAGTGTTGATTTCTAACTTCTTTCTTTCTTACCCTCAATGTTTGAACGGTAGTGTATCTCGTTTGTGACTCGGTAATGATGCTGGAATACATTAGCTTACAAATTATTCATATAGAAAACAGATGATTTACATTGGAATAATATTTCAGTTTTATTGTATTTTCAATCAAATAAATGGTCAGTTGATTCGGATTCATAGCCTCCACAAAATAGTGACATGTGAATGTACAACAGCACGAATTAACAAGGCTAAACCCATTATCGTTGGTGCATGGCAATGTTTTTCTTCAATAATGTTGGATTATATGAAGGAATGATTGTATAAAGATTTCTTATTTTATTTAGCTTTTTATTTATATATATTTGTTTTATGCTATTTTCTCTGTCATACTGTACATTTCTTGATGTGTCTGTTCCCCCTTCCCTGTCTTTTATTTATTTATTTTTTTTGTAGATGTTTGTTTTATCTTTGTTTCTAAAGAGTTGATCACAAAAAATAAATAAATGGTCAGTTGATTAAAAGCTAATAATTAAACCTTACAAATGTAAAACAAACTTTTTATCTGCCTGTCATGTGACTTTTAACCAACATGAGAAAACCGCAAACTTGTCGTTTATTTACTGAAATAACTCAATCTCATTTAAGTTAATATATTGAGCTCAAATGGTTTCAGATGATAAAGTTTGTGAATCCGTTTTAGATTGAATCATCAGTAAATAAATGGGGTTGATTTTAACGTTATGGATAATTTTTTTTTCTCCTGTTTTTTTAGATTTCCTTTATTGACGCCAAGAAGAATCTGAACCTGAATATATTCCTGAAGCAGTTTAAGTGGTAAGATCAGACGTTTCTGACTCCTCATTGGTGTGTGTTTCTGTGTCCGGACGTGTAAGATCTGTGATTCCCTCCCCAACAGCTCGCATGAAGAGTTTGTGGCGATGCTGCTAAAAGGAGATTGTTCAAAATTCGACGTCGAGTCTTTGAAACAACTCCTGAAACTGCTTCCGGAAAAACATGAGGTACTTCCCAATAAAATGCACCATCGAAATGACGGTTCACAAGTGTTTCAGATTCATAGACCTTGATGCGAATGAAAACAAGGCTCACAATCTTGTCTTTTTGTCCACTGGAAATGTTTAAAGTGCCCCTAATATGCTGTTTTTAAGACTCCTAGTTTTGTTTTAAAGTCTCCTACAACATACGAGTTGCATATACTGATAAGACTATTTGTATTTTTTTTTTTGTATTTATTTATTTCTTCGGTCAGTCATTTAGAAATCATGTCATAAATCATGTAACACAAAAGAGAGAGAGAGAAAAAAAAAAAAAATATATATTTTTTTATTTACTAGTCTTACAAGTTTTCATCATTCTTCAATTTTTATAGTTGGTTTCAAAAAGTACATTGGTCTAATTTGATTGCGAACAGTACGACCAGGGGTACGACTTTACCCCTAACTAACTGCTAGTTGGTCATACTAGTTCTTAAGACATGTTTATGCAACCGGCCCCTGGTTTACATGCATTCAAGGTCAAAAACACTTTAATTTTGTCCTAATATCCCCTGCAGCGTCAGCTCTTTCGTCTCAGTGTCTGAAACGCTTCATCTCTCTAAGCTCCGCCTCTCTGAGAGCTGCTCTGCTCTGATTGGTCAGATTGCTCATTATCATATCTGAATCTCAGCTCTTGACACACAGTGACCTGAACGGTAACTATGGTGAGGGTCTTACCGTTTTCTCAGCGCTGTCTCGACATGAACAACACGAACCAAACTTTTCCGATCTAAGAGACGCTGCTTATTTTTAGGAGATAAACTCCATTTGCATTCACAAACCGCTTTTTTACACACTACATGACGGTAATATCATCATAACCATGAGAGGGGCACTGTAATATGTCTAATGATCAGTACAACCCCCTGAACTGTCCTTCATTTGCATAATTTACATATGGTGATGGTTAGTTAAGTGTTTTGCATTTTTTAACCTGATTTCTTCTACTTCTCCAGATTGACAACTTAAGATCCTTTCAAGGGGATCAAGACAAACTGGCCAATGTGGACCGCTTTTACCTCTTACTGCTGGCTGTGCCCTGGTAAAATCACCACTTTCTGTAGTGTTTCACTCTTCCAGTATTATGCATGAGGCAGTTATTATGATATTGGCTTGATTTATAAGCTTAGACTGGATTTCTTTTTCTTCTGTGACCGTATCTCCGACCTAGAGCTTTAAAGCTACAACCACGTCAAACTGAAGGTGTTCATGCTAGGTTAAAACATGCTAGGAAGCTTAGAGAGAACTTTTATATTGGCTTGAAAAAATTTGTCAAGCATATATAAGTGTTTTTCTGACTAACTTTACTTTCTAGTTTAGACTTGAGTTTGTCTTTATCACAGTTACCAGCTGAGGATTGAGTGCATGTTACTGTGTGAGGAGACGCTGTCGGTGCTCGATATCCTGAAGCCGAAGGTGGAGCTGGTGGACGCGGCCTGTGAAAGTGAGTATACACCAGCGGAGTGTGTGTGTGTGTGTGTGGTCCTCTGCTGAAGGTATTTAGGAGCAGAACATGCAGCAGACCATTAATAATATAAATACAGGCTCAAAGGACCATTAACCCTAAAACCGTATTCTGGACAAATGTGGGCAAAATAGTTTTGATTTATTTTTAAAAAATACTTCCCTTGATCTGAGCGGTACAAGACTTGGCTACTTTTCCTAAGTTTGCCTTATGAACACACTCAATTCTACAATGTTAAAGGATTAGTTCACTTTTGAAAAAACTTTTGCTGATAATTTACTCGCCCCCGTGTCATCCAAGATGTCCATGTCTTTCTTTCTTCAGTCGAAAAGAAATGAAGGTTTTTGATGAAAACATTCCAGGATTTTCTCTATATAATGGACTTCAATGGGGACCAAACGGTTCAAGGTCCAAAAGACGGTTAATATCAGTTTCAGATGCAGCTTCAAATGTCTTTAAACGACACCAGACGATGAATAAGGGTCTTATCATGTGAAACGATCGCTTATTTCAAAACTTATTCCAAAAATGTAACTTTTCTAAGGACAAATGCTAGCCTTGCTCTATTCTGTGAGGCGCGTTTGTAACGTCACGTATTACGTAATTACGTTCAAAAGGTCACGGGCGGCGTAGCCGTAAGTACAGAGTCAGTGTTTACAAGTTGAACGCATAGGTTGAACGTGCAAACTAACTCAAACGGCGTTTACAAAAAAAGGAATTAAAAGGTAAAACAACGATGTCGGACGATTTTGATTCTGTACTTCCTGTACTTCTGTGCTACGTCGCCCGTGACCTTTTGAACGTAATTAAGTATTACGTGACGTTACAAACGCGCCTCAGAGAATAGAGCCATATGGAATATAGCAAGGCTTGCATTTGTCCTTAGAAAAGTGACATTTTTGGAATAAGTTTTGAAATGAGCGATCGTTTCGCATGATAAGACCCTTATTCATCGTCTGGTGTCGTTTAAAGACATTTGAAGCTGCATCTGAAACTGTTATTAACTGTCTTTTGGACCTTGAACCATCCGGTTCCCATTGAAGTCCATTATATGGAGAAAATCCTGGAATGTTTTCATCAAAAACCTAAATTTCTTTTCGACTGAGGAAAGAAAGACATGGACATCTTGGATGACACGGGGGCGAGTAAATTATCAGCAAAAGTTTTTTCAAAAGTGAACTAATCCTTTAAGTGGGTGAGAATAAAACCTCCTTAATCTTGTATTTGGGTCAAAAATGGGCACCCATAGAAATGAATGGGAAAAACTGTAGTTTAGAGCATTATAAAATTAGCCAAAATAAGACACCAGGGCCCAGTTGTTCAAAGGTAAGCTGATCGGATTTTGGTTATCGGATTGGATCAAATCTTGACAATGGGTTGTTCAAAAGGGAAAGAAGGAATCTGAAATCAGATTAGATCAGGGAATACAATCCTAGTTTTAATCTGGATCAAACCTTCAGTTTGTGTTGTTCAAAACTTGTCAGTGGGATTTGGATAACTTTGATCCAAAAAAAAAAAAGGATTATCCTGATCCCAACAGGGGGTAGGATTTCAAGGTGGATTTCAGGAAGAAAATGTAGTAAATTGGTCAAATAATATATTTGTATCATTTAGTGTATATACTTTTATTTATATTTTGCACTTGACTTGTGTAACCGTTGTAACAGTGATAAAGTAGACATGCTAATAATTAAGCTATTTTTAGTTAAGTAAAAATAAACTAAAAATTATCTTGTGCCCATTTGTGTTTTGCCTCAAAATAAGAAACACTTACAGTGACCCCATGTTGGCTCTTCTACCTGTTCTTTATATAGATGTGGAAGCCCACATTGTGATATGTTGTCCCATTTTAATCCGGATTTGGTAATCTTGAAAACTGTGTATCTGGATCAGGGTGATCCAGTCCGATGTTGCTTTGAAAAACCGCCATAAAAGTAAGACGGATTACCTGAAAAAATGGGATTTCCAAATCCGGATCATTTTGATCCAGATTAAATGTTTTGAACAACTGCCCCCAGGTGACAGCAAAGTCACTTCATCTTTAGGTTTTAGCTCTAAGAGCTTATTGGAATGATATTTTAATGTAGTTAAAAAAAATAAAAATAAAACTACATAGTAATTAATTTACATAGAAATAATTTACGTAGAAAATATGGTACTTTTTGAAGTAAATAAATTCAAAAACACCCCCAAAATAAAAAAAAAACACCATAAATTGATAGACAAAACTTTATCGAAGACAGTGATATAACATTTATAATAAATAAAAACACATGAGATGTTGCAATCATCAATGCATTTAATACGTTTTTCACACATTATCGTCCCGCAGGTCTCAGGAGAAGTTCTCTGCTGCCTAGTTTCTGCAAGCTCATCCTTGACGTTGGAAACTTCCTCAACTATGTAAGAAATGCCATTAAAATGACCTTGAGTTCTTTAAAAGCTGAGATTCAGAAATGATAACAAGCGTTCTGACCAATAAGAGCAGAGCAGCTCTCAGAGAGGCGGAGCTTAGAGAGACCTTGATCGATGTGTTTTAGAAAATTAGTGCTTTTTGACCTTGGATGCGTGTAAACCTGTTGTAAGAGACTCCAAAACAAAACTGTGGGTCTTAAAAATAGCATAATGGGGCATTTTAAAGAGTTTTATGTTTATAGGATTAATTATTGCTCAGTTTATATTAATATTACATTTGTAAATCAGTGATTGCCTGCATCTGTAGCCTTTGATCGAAATGTAAACTGGGAATATGTTGTGAGGAGTCTGTGGCTGTGATCCCCAAATGACCTCGGATACTCTGTATTCTGTATTCAGTGTCTCACTTCCTCATTTTGTGAATTATTAATATTTTCCTTTTTGCCAGGGAAGTCACACAGGAAACGCTGAGGGATTCAAGATTGGTTCCCTGTTGAAACTCACCGAAACCAAAGCAAACAAGAGTCGCATCACCCTCTTGCATCACATCCTGGAGGTACAGCAGATATATACAGTATATATATAAAAAAATTAGGTCTGTTTATTTAATTAGTTGAAAAAGCCTATAGAATGCAGTTAGAATGACCTTATAAATACAAGACATTTTTCCCTCATATCTTGAATTTTATCATATGACATGGCGTATAGTTGCTTACACGAGTGCTGTTTTCATCCTGAATAGCGCAAGTGCTATAGTGTATTTTAGGCACAATATTGACTGTTTTTGCTTAATTTTGTCAAGAACAATATTACCTATAAAGCCAGAGCAACACACAGCGGTTTCGTTTCAGAACGAATCGTCGTTTGGAGTGAATCAATGACTCTCATTCATAAAGAGACCCATTTACTTAATTCCTAAGTGAATCAGACGTTTGAACGACTCAAATGAATAAATAATTCAATGATTTATTTAGATAATCACTGCCACCTACTGGCAGTTTTAGTTTCATATTTAGAGTATACAGTACTTTCATTTAAAAATGGAAATCTTAAATCATGTTCAAAAACCCATTAAGGTATAGTTCTTCCGAAAATGAAAATTGTCGTCATATACTCGCGCTCATGGCTGCCTAAAAGTTCATTTGTAATAAATTCTGTTAAATCAAGTAAAACATTTCTTTCTTAAACTACTTTTTGTAATGATAGTTTTCTCTTCTAACACTTTAAATGATGTTTTGGGTGTAATGTCACAGCCAAATTCGATGTGAATCTTGTAATTAGATCAACAATAAAATATATATATCTTGACAGCTGTAATATACATAACAATGATTGTCACAAGCACAGTAATAATGTTCAATTTAGTATTGGTTTAATTATATTAGTCATTTCAGTGTCTGTTTACCCAAAAGTAACTGTTCCAGGCCTACAGTATATGTCCGTACACAGAGATCGGATGCTTGTGTTGTCAAGCCCAAAAAAGAGAAAAATCACCTTAAACTGTTCCTATGACTCAAGAACTGATTCCATGTGATTTGATCTGTGTGTGTGTCCTTGTTTGAGCTTGGCAGTATGAACTCTGCTCTCGTGTCAGTCTGACCTATTTTGAAGTGAATAATTCCTGTTAAATGGCCTCCTTTACTGCCGTCCGCTCACACTGGGCTGTGTTGTGTATGTCTGTGATTTCCAGGAAGCCGAGTTAAACCACCCAGAGCTGCTGAAGCTTCCAGAAGACATCGAGGCCTGTGAGAAAGCGGCCGGGTAACACAACCATTGTTCTCTGAGTGTGTGTGTGTGTGTGTCACGAGATCAGTGCCGTCATTTCAGTCTCAACTGCTGCTTTGTGTGTGTGTGTGTGTGTGTGTGTGTGTTCTTTCAGCGTAAATCTGGAGTCGATTCAGGCAGAAACAAATAATCTTCTGAAAAGATTAAAAGATGCAGAAAAAAAGGTGTCTTCATCAGTTGAGGAGGTCAAGGAGCAGTTTTTAAGGGTTATTGAGGTAGAAACACTTAAACTGTTTATATATATATATGTATATATGTGTATATGTATATATATTAGGGCTGTGCAAAAATTTTATTCTTTTTGAACAAAATAATTATTTTGTATAAATACCTATGTATGCATGTATATATTTAAGAATTATTTGCGCTTAAATTCTGTATATATATATATATATATATACATAATCTATATTATATAAATATTTTATATATGAATAACACATTTTCTTAAATATATACATGCATGTGTGTGTATTTATATATACAAAATAATTATATACAGCACACACAAATATATTATGTAAACAGACTTTTATTTTAGATGCGATTAATCGCAATTAAATTTTGCACAGCCCTAATATATATATATGTGTAATATATTAAAAAATAAAATGAAAAATAAAAATTCTTTTATATAAAATATTTTTTTATATTTTTATATAAATAAAATGGTACATTAAAGTCCCCCTCTAGTCAATAATTTAAACTCGTTTTTGGTAATCAAAATGACATATTTAAAGTCCCCCCTGTGGTGAAAATAAGCTTTTAATGTTGTTTATGTGTCTGTGGTGTTTTAATCTGATTTCAGACAAATAATGTGTAAATTCAATGAGTATTTCCTCCTTAAAACTGCAGTGAACCAAAGACAGTCTCAAAAACACGCTTTGAAATCGCTGGTGTTTCTGACGTCACAAACCACCTTGAAACCAATCAGATCAACGTGTGATCGTCAACCAGTGAGTGAGTGAGTGGAGGCGGGGCTCATTTGCATATTCATTGAACCATGCATACTAAATGAGGCGAGGGTGTCGAGTTACATTCAAGATATTAAAGCATTACGAAGACTTTTAAATGTCATTTTGGTGATCAAAGATGAGTTTTAAGGGATAATATTTTCAATTTTAGGCTTTTTTAGCTTGAATGTAACTCAAAACCCTTTCTTTATTTAGTATACGTGGATTTGACAATGCAAATAAGCCCCGCCTCCACTCACTCACTCAACTGTAGTAAGCACTACACGATGGCAAGTGGAAATATTGGTTTAATTCAGTCATATATGTTTGAACCAGAAACTGATTCAGAAGAAGAGCGAATTCTACAGACGATGTATCAGAATATTAATGCGTTTTATGTACATTAGAGGCATAACAGTAACATCTCCAGTAATAGTGTGTTGCTAATGTTTTTTGTCTTTGGTAATACTGTGGACTTATGAATTTACACATGGTGTGTCTTAAAGCAGATTAAAAACACCACATTAAAACACTCGATTTTCAACACAGGGGGACTTTAATAAATTAAAATATGAAATTGTGAATACTGTATATTGCTTTCTACAGTATTTTAATATATATTAAAAAAGTGATCTATTCAACAAATCACATCTTGCTATTGTCTCTAACTGTATGAATGTTCACGTTTGTTTTCCATGTCTGTAGAGGAACCTGACGGCGTGTAAAGCCCTGGAGGAGCGCTTCACGAACATCGACGGCAGGAAAGGAGATCTGGCTCAGTATCTCTGTGAAGATGTGGTTCAGCTCTCGCTGGATGAACTCTTCAGCACCCTCAAGACCTTCCGGCAGCTCTTCCTCAAAGCCTTAAAGGTCTGTGACGTCAGTGGCTTGTTCAGGATTGACCTGAGCACCAATTAAACTGTTCCTTCCTGTAGGAAAACAAGACCCGTAAAGAACAAGCTGCCAAAGCCGAGAAAAGAAAGCAGCAGCTGGCGGAGGACGACTCCAAGAGACAGAAAGGAGAAGATGGGAAGATAAGTGAGTCGTTAATCTAATTAACTAATGTATGTCCATTTATTGTCATGGTGTCCGGTGTTACGCCCCCGTCACATCCAGTTCAGGCCAGACATCATTTATTCTGCTGTGAGTTCGGTCATATATGTGATCAAGAACCGTTAATGGGACCAAATGTTAGACGTTCACTTCTAGTCTTTGCAACCACACACACACACACACACTTTTATACACATACACACCAATAAATTTTGATTACAAAAAGTATGTTTTGAATTTTTAAAAATCACTGCTTCATCGCAATGTTACGAAACTTGGTGACTTTTATGGCATTATGTATGTGAACACACAAAAAAATTGAGGTCATGATCTGAGCGTGCTGAGTGGTCGTAAAAAAAGTCACACTTGTGGTCTTTGGTCAAAAATGACCCCCATAAGAAATGAATGGCAAAATGACGAAATTCACAAATTTTTATTTATTTATTTATTTTTTTTACATTTTTTTTTTTTCAAATAAATCGTTTTTGAGATTGTTTCAACTATATATTCAAATCCACCAAAAAAAAAAAGTGTTCATAAACATCTGGGGAATTCACATGCTTCTCCATAGAGAGCTGTACATGCCATCTAGTGGGTACACCATGATCCTACGCTTTTTCTCTATACTGTAACCAGATGGTGCTAATTTTCTTCAAAAAAAAAATTTTTTTCTGAAGGCAGAGACTCTATATTAATCTAAAATGCTGCATTAATAATTTTTTGAAAAAAAAAATATATATATATATATATATAGAAAATATATATATATATTTTTCCATGGCAAAAATAGACCATAAATATTGCATAAATATTAATAAATTCAATCAAATTGTCTCAAAATACTAAATTACAAAGAATAAATATTATAGAACAAAAATAAATTGCATTGGTTTTACTGGGTTGGAGGAAATTTAATTTTTAGGTGTCCGGGAAGATAACAAGTGTGACTCCGAAACGAAGAGCACCCGAGGGTTAAGAAAAAAAGTCTGAATTGATTCATATTTCCTTTTTTACGTGTTTTTATCCTGTGTGGAAACAAGCTTTCCATACGCTTTCCCCAACCCTAACCCCAACCTGTTCTCTGTCGCCCAGTCAGGAGAGGGCCCGTGCCGCAGGACGACGGCTGCATCATCGATCACCTCTTGGCGGATATTCGAAAGGGTTTCCATCTGAGAAAGACTCGTCCCAGGTGCGAAACGGAAAGTGCCCCTTCTAGTGAAATGCATAGGGATGCGGGACCGTCCGGTAAGAACATGATCCCGTCAGGCTCTCCACAGGCTCCAATGCAAAAGCCTCAAACGCGTCTGTTCGTTGCTCTTCTGGCGTGTGCGCTGCTGTCTATAGTGAGTGGATTAAAGGGGAAGCCGATTTGACTAGATCTTGAGTTTATTGAACGATAAAAACAGACTGTAACTTTCACCGCAGTCTAAAAGAGTTTTAACTGAAACTAATAAAAGTTTCTGACATGATTACATCATCATGTGACCCCTTTAAAGGAAGAGCGTGTTTGCTTGTCCAGTCACTTATAGAGTGTGTGAGCTGAACGTCGAGGGCTTTTGGGATTCGAGCGATTCCTCAATCGGTCGGCTTTGCTGCTTCTCCTCCTCGTTTCTGATTGGTGGTTTACCCCAGTCTGAGCTGTCAATCAATGCTTCACTGTTAACAAGCATGCATGCAAATGAATGTGAAATACAAGCTGTGAACTGCGAAAGGGTAGTTGACGCATTTGTTTTTTTAACATTAAGTTTAGGTCAACATATGCATGTTTAAGGAAAAGAATTATATTTAAATCTTATATATAAACGAATTCAACATTTTTATTCGCTAATATGTATATGTGCTTAAAAACCCTGCGGTTTTCCATTAACAAAAAATGAGTTTGGTCTAACATTTGAAAGTAAAGAAATTCAGTTTTTTTTTTCCTGAATTATTAATTTTTGTTTTGTTTTTTTTTTTGTGTGAAATATTACAATTGTAATATTATTGTAATTTACTTTTTTTATTTATTTATTTACAATTGTAATATTTCATGTTTTGTATTTCTTATTATTTCACAGTAGTATTGATATGTTATCACAAACTTGTTAAAGCAAAATCATAAAGACGTATTAAAATGTAATTTCTTTTAGGTTATTCCATTTTTTTTTCTGTTTTTATTTTTTTAATAGGGCTGCATGATTAATCAAAATAAAGCACAATTGCAATATGGCTGCTTTAAAACCCTGCTTTTTTCCCGTCAAAATAAGCTTAAAAATGGAGAAATTGACAAATATTTGTATTTTACATTTGTTCTGTAATAGTATTATCATTTTTTTTCTTAAATACTTGATTTTTACAGTAAAATTAGTTTTATTTATTATTTATTTATTATTATTTAAGTCATATTGATAATCACAAACAAGCACCGCAAGCCTGGTGCTTTTTTTATTTTTTTTATTATGACATTTTAAAACAATTTCTATAAAAATGGTGATTAGATGTATTTTATTTCCCCAAATCATGCAGCCCTGCCTTTTTACCTTCACTAGTGCATTTGAAATAGTCCTGCACTGAGACCCATCTGTTGACGTGTAGGAGCTCGATTCACATTCATAAAGCTGTGCAATTATTAATATTTTTAAATTGAGAAACGTTTTGAGTACGTCACACCGCAGGACACTGATGTCAACTACCCAAACACAAGCTGTACGCTGCATGTGACCCGTTATATTCTGCAGAAACAGTTCTGTGTATGTTAGCAAGCCGACCCAAACGCTGCTGTGCTTCATGCTGACGTCTCCATTCTCTAGTCCACACACTCTTGTGTTCTTGAACAAACCCATCTCTTCTCCTTCCGAAGCAGCAAGTGTCAGGTCTGTCGAAGAAGAAGCGGGATCGTCAGTGGTCGAAAGCCTGGACTCAACTCCAGAAGATCCGGGCAGAAGCTGCGACACCAATCCCAGCAGTGAAGCCTCTCCGTTGTGTCACGGTGACCCAGAGAGCCTTTCTTCAGACGTGAAGGAGCTTCACTGTCCTGACACCATCCCTGAGGTCAACTCCACAGTCGCCGATACACCACTGAACCCGTGTGTGAGCGCCAGAACTGAGGACAATCCTCTTACAGACACACCAGCTCACGATCAGACCACAGCAGATCAGCCTGACGCTTCACCCGGCCTGGCAGATCCACATCTGAAGCATAATGCAGAACTCGTCAGGGCTAAGGACGATGACCCTTTAAACGCTGATATTGACCCGAAAGCAAGCAGTGCGTGCGATGAGAATAAAGACACGTGTGTGGGCGACCCGCTTCAGTCGGGAAACGATGTCGAGACACGTGATGATGTAGCCCCGCCCACTCCTCCTCTAGGCCCCGCCCACCGGAAACCTGAAAATAAGAAACATTTCTTCCAAAGAAACAAAAAAAGCAGTAATGAAGGTAATCTATTTATGTGTGTAATAAAGCTCGTGTTTTTCAGCACTGCTGATTAAAGTGTCCAATGAGTTGAAAACACCGTAAATATTTACTTTATCAAAAAAATATTTACAGTTACTATTTATATTACTTAGAGCTGGGCAATGATTAATCACATACAAAATTTGGGTTTACATGTGTGTGTACGGTGTATAAATTATTTTATATATACACAAGTACACGCATAGATGTATATATTTAAAAAAAATGTACACACACACATATATATATATATATATATATATATATATATATATATATGCACAAATATTTCTTAAATATGCGTGTGTTTATATATACAAAATAATGATACACAGTGCACACATGTTATGTAAACACAAAACATTTTTTCTATGCAATTTTTCGTTGCCCAGCACTAATAATATTTTAACGTGACGCTGATGGGATATTTCTGGAAAATTCTGAAGTGTATTTTCCTGCTGTTCACAATCCCAGATATTTTGCTAATTGTTTGAATGTCATGAAAACATGTTCTAGTCACATTTCAGCCCAAGATCAAAATAAAATGGCTATTAATTTTTTTTTTAATTTAATGCATATTTTACAGTTATTTACAATCAGCATAAAGCATTGCAAATAGCATGCTATTTTATATATTTAAAAATATATTTAAATATGAATAAATACAAACTTTTTTTATTCATATTTAATATATATATATATATTACAATTTAGTAAAACTATATTTTTAGTTCACTTTTTTTAAATTGTCAATATTAAATTATTTAACATAATATATTATAAATTTTACATTTGTTTAATTGTTTTTTATTTTTAGTTCCTTCTATTTTTAATGTAATTTTTATATTATATTATAATTAAAGCTCCTCTGACCTAAATTGTCGTTACATAATGTCATAATGGAAAAAAAAAATTGTTCTGAAAACAGGTTTTTGATTTTCGGTTGAAACGATTGACATTTTCTGGACATGTTTTTGTGACAATGACAATTCCTGAAACGAGTTTCGCTAACACTCGTTCAGGCCGAGTGTGTGTGTGTTCTGCTTGATCTAGTCAGATGTGAGTATCTGGCATTAGTGCTGTAGAGCCTGGAAGTGAATGTCAATCATTTCTTCAGCGTGTCTCTCTCTCTTTGACTCTCTGAAGTCGAGGGTAACAGAGGCAAAGGACGCTCTAAAAAGGCGTGTGTGTTGCAGTAAGGTAGGAGAACTGAGCAGGACCTCTGCTCGACCCGCCGGACCGATCTCTACTTACCCGTCCTCCAGCTGTTATTAACATCTCGTCTCTCAAATACACTTTCTCTGGTGTGTCCTGGACAGAATCGTTTGTTTGTCTTGTATAAATCAGTTTTTGTCTCATAACTGATTACATTTCTTTGTGTTAACAAAAATCTCTTTGTCTAAAAGGAGCAGTTCACTTTTGCTGATAATTTACTCACCCCCATGTCATCCAAGATGTCCATGTCTTTCTTTCTTCAGTTGGAAAGAAATTAAGGTTTTTGATGAAAACATTCCAGTATTTTCTCCATATAATGGACTTCAATGGGGTCCAAACGGTTCAAGGTCCAAATGAGAGTTTCAGTGCAAACTGTTCAAAGGGCTTTAAACGATTCCAGACGATGAATAAGGGTCTTATCAAGCGAAACGATCGCTCATTTAATAAATAAATAACAGTTTTATAAGCTCAAATGCTCGCCTTGCTCTGTTCTGTGCACATTCGTGTCTCTCCTGTTCGAACTCGTTCATCAAAATGAACGAATTGACCCAGGAAAAGATTAGTTCATTTTGATGAACGAGTTCGAACAGGAGAGTCATGCTTGATAAGAACCTGATTCATCGTCTGGTGTCGTTTAAAGCCCTTTGAACAGTTTGCACTGAAACTGTCTTTTGGACCTTGAACCGTTTGGACCCCATTGAAGTCCATTATATGGAGAAAAATCCTGGAATGTTTTCATCAAAAACCTTCATTTCTTTTTGAGTAAATTATCAGCATAAGTTTTTTTTTTAAAGCGAACTACTCCTTTAAAAGGGGTGTATGTAAAATATTCAGAAACCCTTGTTTTTAGTGCCACCGGTGGCTGTTCAGTGAACTGCGGCAGCACAAATTGGAGTCTGTAAAATGTAATGTTCCTGAAAGAGTCTCTTCTGCTCATCAAAGCTGCATTTATTTGATCAAAAATTCAGTAAAAACAGTGAAATATTATTATAATGTAAATCATCTGTTTTCTATGTGAATATATAGTAAAATGTAATTTATTCCTGTGATCAAATCAATCATTACTCCAGTCTTCAGTGTCACATGATCCTTCAGAAATCACTCTAATATGAGGATCTGATGATCAACAAACATTTATGATTATTATCAGTGTTGAAAACAGTATTTTTGTGGAAACCGCAAAACCTTTGATGGATAGAAAGTCTAAAAGAACAGCATTTATTTTAAATAAAATCTTTTGTGACATTATAAATGTCACTTTTGATAAATTTGATGCATATCTTTGCCTATTTTTATGTAATTGGTTAAATATGTTAAGAGTGTAAATCACAGCGAAATGATTCATTGACTAACAGTAAATGATTGACCGCAGAAGAATGTGAATATTCTGAGCGTTTGTCTGACCGCCGTGACCTTTAACCCGACATGTGTTAGGGTCTCCATCGGGATTTTATCTGTTATGGGGGAAAGATAAGCAGAGTAAATAGTTCAGAAATAAGTCATAAAGACTCAAGATCATCCAATAGTGTGTAAAATAAAGATGTAATATAGTTTTCTGGATAAAGAGCTTAGACATTGTTTTGCTAAATATTACACAAGTAACATGTGTATGAAAACTTTTTTTGGTTTCTGTTGTATGTCTGTATTAACCCCTTCAGTAATGGACCGTAATCACTCAATCCTTTTTTTGAGAAACTTTGGTGGTGTTAACGTCTATTATGCTGCTATGTTGTGATTTAATGCTGATTTTCTTTGCATTTCAGGCCAAATGTTTCCACTCAATTTTTTAACATATTTTTCATTTCATCCACTCGTTTCAGGAAGCTCCAGGAAAAGGAGACCAAAAGGGAGAAGGAGGAGTTGAGCGTGTTCCTCCCATGATCCCGTCGCTCCGGGAACAGCTTTAATGGACTGCACTGTCTGTTTTTAAATGCTAAATCTTAAGATTTGACCAAATCATTTTAAATATTTGCACAGTGTAAGATGCATTTATGATACTCCCTAGAAAACTTTGTTTACACACCAGATCAGTTGGAGGAGAGGAAAGTGAACCCAGTGTTTCTGAAACCTTTAAGATAAACGCCGTTCACTATTAATATTGCTCTGAATGTAAGCTTTATATGTTATAAAGATGTTTGGCATAAAGTATTAGTTCATTCTTATATCAATTCGAAAATATTTCTGTAATAGGCTAATATATCTCAGCAGAAGTGATGAGATTATATTTTGTGCTTGCAGTGGTCTTTTTGAGTGTGACTTTCATATTGATGTCAGGATGTATTTTCATGTATAAGGAGAAAATATCTAAATTATATATAAATAAAAATGGAAAATAATGTTTGAGGTTTGTTCGTTGATTTTGACACTTTAGACGCTGAAGCTCCCCCTACTTTCCCGCCTACTCACTTAACAAGTGATGGTCATTGGACGCGTTGTGATGAAGTACACAGATATTCATCATGTAGATATCTGTCAGAACATGATGTGGTTCCAGCATTATCAGCTGATGTCCTATCACATGCTCAAGCCAAAGTTAAAAGAAACTGATCAATAATTCATTGTAGTGGCTTCTTAACTCAATAAAAGCACGTAAACTGCTTTTATTGTACGTCTTCCGAGGGTGCTCTATAGATCAGACACCTGAATCCTCTATGGGTTACTTTTAAATATCTTATTAGAGATGTGCATGCTTACATTGTATAATTTGTACATTAAATCTATGAACTCCAAGGATTTGTTATTAGCATAAAAAAAAAATCTGCTTTTAGCATAGACAGTAATAGGGCTTTTTTTATCTGCTGGACTCGCACACCCGTCACGTTTGTAGTTTTTATTCGTGTTTGTAGTTCTAATCGAATCTCGTCTAGCCGTTAGGAGCACTTCGTATTCTGATTCTAACCGGAAAAAGTAGACCATCTTTGGGAAAGCCTACTCATTTCATACTACGATTTTGGACATCGATTCTAATTTCCAACACTAATTGTTTGTGAGGGATAGTATGCCATTGGGACGCAGCATCTGATCTTTGTCCAGTAATCATCATCGAATGCGATTGGTTAATTCAAATCAGCGGTGAGAAAAGTAACATGTGTCACAGGCGAGGAATGACGCAGGGAAACTTTACTAGATGTTGAGTCAAACATCAGCAGTGAATGTGAGAACAACAGGTTAGAAGTATTATTAATATACTACCTAACTTACCAGTTACGAACCGTTTCGTCTCGGCCGGATCAACGCGCCTATTATTACTGCGCGGTGATGGGGATTGGGGAGTCGAATCCAGAAGAGTCGGTTCCTCGACTCTCAACAGCCATAGTGTTGTAATCGACTCCAGGACAGGAATCGACGACCAGTAAGCTATCGATTCTGGATTTTCTTAAAACCTGAGGTGTGTTCGTGTTATTTTTCAACTTTATTTTCCAAGAGATGTGGGGAATTTGGCATTTTGTGTGTGTAATTCTTGGATTTGTGTGTAAAGTCAAAAAAAAGAGGCAAGTTTTAAAAATGTGTGTGAGCAGTTGAAAAACAAACTGTAAAAGTAAATGGATGGAGTCGACTCTAACATTAGGAGTTGGGAATCGGAGTCGACTCCGCGAACCGCTGACTCGAACACCTCCTCGTCTATGAGCGTCTGGGCGCGCGGCCGAATGCTGTCATTACACTGGTTCCTCGAGACTCGTCGTCATGTCTCTGGGCTGGTCAGGGAACGACCACAAGAGCTACTCGAACCCGCAGACGGGCGCCTTGAAACGGGCGAGAAACGACTCTGGGAACAAGGTGTCGGTGGTTCTGGGCGCGCAGTGGGGCGATGAGGGCAAAGGTAAAGTGGTGGACTTACTCGCCACGGAGTCTGACATCGTGTGCAGGTGTCAGGTAAGACAACAACAACTAAAGCAAAACTTCATCGGTAACTTTTTGTATGGAATATATAACGATTATTAATGTAACGTTAATTATACATCAAATTGCTTTTACTAAATGTATTTTAATTGATGACATATATATTTTTTAATCATATTTTAGGTAGTTTTAGCAATTATTTCATTAACAATAGCTAATTTAATAGGTTCCCCTACAAATAACGATGCTAAAAATACTTAAATATGTGTAAACTTATTATCAGGAACATTATGAATTCAAATAGACTATAGCAAACTGTCGTGCTTTTAGTTAAATTCAATATTCTAACTTAATATAATGCTGAATATGTCATGCAAAGTTTATAGAAATAGCCTACAACTGAACTGAGCATTTATACAAATGAGAAATATGTTTATTTGACAGAAAATTACATATAATATAAATATTGTCCAATAGACTGACTTTTTTTTATTATATTTCTATGCTCAGTTCAGTTGTATTGTCATAAACAAGAGATGTGTATATATATCTTGATTGTGTATGTGTCTTTACTTTGATAATGTTAGACTTTAGTTTGGATCGTGCATTTGAATTCATGGATGTTATTGCATATTCTGGTCATTGACAAACCCTAATCAGTGATCTAACTGTAATCTGCAGTCTATTGAGTGGTTCCAGCTCTACTTACACTCATTATCATTATTAATCACATGCAATTTAATTCCCATTGCATTATATGAAGTATTCTGAACAGTCCGGCTGTCCGGCTGTCTGTCTTTCACTGGTGTCGCTGTGTGTGTGTGTGTGTGTGTAGACACTGAATGTCAGTCCCAGAATTCCTCTCTGCCCTTCGCTGAACTCTGGTCACATTGCCGGCGTTCCTGGACATGTGAGAAGGGCACGACTCTCTGTGTCCGGGTAAAGGCCAAGCCGGCCGCCTGAAGATCCTGGGGTCGCATTTCCAGGTCTCGCGATTGTAAATTTGGAGCTGGAACCTTTAAGTTGTTGATGAGGTTTTGCTCCTCGGATTAAGTTTCTGTTGACTGCAACAGATAATAATGCAATGCATGCCAAAGTGCCAACCTCATTCTGTCCGTCGTACAAACAAATTATGAGGAACTCGTGCAGAAACAAGAGAGAAGCAACCAACTGTTTGTTTTTATGCATACTGTTCAATAAAAGCTGCTGAATGCTTTTTTTTTTTTACCAAATAATTTAGTCAGATAAAAGCCTTAACCCAGTTTAGACCTTTTTATTTTGTATTTTTAACTACAATAAAAAGTCAGTTTAATATAATATGGCTAAAAAGTGATGTTTTTTAATGATTAAAGGAGTAGTTCCGTTTTAAAAAAACTTTTGCTGATAATTTACTCACCCCCACGTCATCCAAGATGTCCATGTCTTTCTTCAGTCGAAAAGAAATGAAGGTTTTTGATGAAAACATTCCAGGATTTTCTCCATATAATGGACTTCAATGGGAACCAAACGGTTCAAGGTCCAAATGAGAGGGGTTTTTTTTTTTTTTTTTTTTTTTTTTTTTTAATCAGTTGTTTGTTATCAGTTTTTATGTCCATCTTATGATGTTTATTGCATTAGTTTAGTGTCACATGTATCTGAGTTTTTCCATATCCACAGGTGAAACTTGAAAAATTTGAATATCATGCAAAATTTCATATATTTCAGTCATTCAAATTAAAAGGTGAAACTAATATTTTTAGTATATATAACTATATACTGATGCATGATTGTACTTTTCAGAGAGCTGACATTTCTGTATTTAAAATCTTCTTTTTTAATTTATGTCATGTAATCGATTTTTCTGAGATTTTGAGGTTCATAAGTTCAAGGCATTATCATAAAAAATTTAACTTTTACACTTTTGAAACTCAATTTTGTGTAAAAGCTTTTGCTGTGTGATGATGCTGGTTGTCAGTTTATGTGTTTAAAGATCACATCAGACGTTAATACCCACTTGTATTTTCTGTCGCTCCACAGGGAGGGAATAACGCCGGGCACACAGTGGTGGTGGATGAGAAAGAATATGATTTCCATCTTCTCCCCAGTGGAATAATCAGCACCAAATGCATATCATTCATCGGTGAGAAGTCGTTTTGCGTATGATGGAATCTGGTATTTTCAGAGATGATGAAGTGTAAACTGTGGTTTCTGTAAAGCTGACGCGTGTGTGTTCATCCACAGGTAATGGCGTAGTCATTCATCTTCCTGGATTATTCGAAGAGATTGACAAGAATGAGAAAAAAGGTAAAGAAAAGAGAGACAGATTATTGCAGAAGTGAAAGCAGTGAAAGTTTTTTGTCCTGAGTTACACAGGGGTGTCCTGACTTACACAGGGGTGTCCTGAGTTACACAGGGGTGTCCTGACTTACACAGGGGTGTCCTGACTTACACAGGGGTGTCCTGAGTTACACAGGGGTGTCCTGACTTACACAGGGGTGTCCTGACTTACACAGGGGTGTCCTGACTTACACAGGGGTGTCCTGACTTACACAGGGGTGTCCTGACTTACACAGGGGAGTCCTGACTTACACAGGGGAGTCCTGACTTACACACACAGGGGAGTCCTGACTTACACAGGGGAGTCCTGACTTACACAGGGGTGTCCTGACTTACACAGGGGAGTCCTGACTTACACAGGGGTGTCCTGACTTACACAGGGGTGTCCTGACTTACACAGGGGAGTCCTGACTTACACAGGGGAGTCCTAACTTACACAGGGGAGTCCTGACTTACACAGGGGAGTCCTGACTTACACGGGGGAGTCCTGACTTACACGGGGGAGTCCTGACTTACACAGGGGTGTCCTGACTTACACAGGGGTGTCCTGACTTACACAGGGGTGTCCTGACTTACACAGGGGAGTCCAGACTTACACAGGGGAGTCCTGACTTACACAGGGGAGTCCTGACTTACACAGGGGAGTCCTGACTTACACAGGGGAGTCCTGAGTTACACAGGGGAGTCCTGACTTACACAGGGGAGTCCTGACTTACACAGGGGTGTCCTGACTTACACAGGGGAGTCCAGACTTACACAGGGGAGTCCTGACTTACACAGGGGAGTCCTGACTTACACAGGGGTGTCCTGACTTACTCAGGGGTGTCCTGACTTACACAGGGGTGTCCTGACTTACACAGGGGTGTCCTGACTTACACGGGGGAGTCCTGACTTACACGGGGGAGTCCTGACTTACACGGGGTGTCCTGACTTACACGGGGAGTCCTGACTTACACAGGGGAGTCCTGACTTACACAGGGGAGTCCTGACTTACACAGGGGAGTCCTGACTTACACAGGGGTGTCCTGACTTACACAGGGGAGTCCTGACTTACACAGGGGAGTCCTGACTTAAACAGGGGAGTCCTGACTTACACAGGGGTGTCCTGACTTACACAGGGGTGTCCTGACTTACACAGGGGTGTCCTGACTTACACAGGGGTGTCCTGACTTAAACAGGGGAGTCCTGACTTACACAGGGGTGTCCTGACTTACACAGGGTGTCCTGACTTACACAGGGGTGTCCTGACTTACACAGGGGAGTCCTGACTTACACAGGGGTGTCCTGACTTACACAGGGGTGTCCTGACTTACACAGGGGTGTCCTGACTTACACAGGGTGTCCTGACTTAAACAGGGGAGTCCTGACTTACACAGGGGTGTCCTGACTTACACAGGGGAGTCCTGACTTACACAGGGGTGTCCTGACTTACACAGGGGTGTCCTGACTTACACAGGGGAGTCCTGACTTACACAGGGGTGTCCTGACTTACACAGGGGTGTCCTGACTTACACAGGGGAGTCCTGACTTACACAGGGGTGTCCTGACTTACACAGGGGTGTCCTGACTTAAACAGGGGAGTCCTGACTTACACAGGGGTGTCCTGACTTACACAGGGGTGTCCTGACTTACACAGGGGAGTCCTGACTTACACAGGGGAGTCCTGACTTACACAGGGGAGTCCTGACTTAAACAGGGGTGTCCTGACTTACACAGGGGTGTCCTGACTTACACAGGGGTGTCCTGACTTACACAGGGGAGTCCTGACTTAAACAGGGGAGTCCTGACTTACACAGGGGTGTCCTGACTTACACAGGGGTGTCCTGACTTAAACAGGGGAGTCCTGACTTACACAGGGGTGTCCTGACTTACACAGGGGTGTCCTGACTTACACAGGGGAGTCCTGACTTACACAGGGGAGTCCTGACTTACACAGGGGTGTCCTGACTTACACAGGGGTGTCCTGACTTACACAGGGTGTCCTGACTTACACAGGGGAGTCCTGACTTAAACAGGGGAGTCCTGACTTACACAGGGGAGTCCTGACTTACACAGGGGAGTCCTGACTTAAACAGGGGAGTCCTGACTTACACAGGGGAGTCCTGACTTACACAGGGGAGTCCAGACTTACACAGGGGAGTCCTGACTTACACAGGGGAGTCCTGACTTAAACAGGGGAGTCCTGACTTACACAGGGAGTCCTGACTTACACAGGGGTGTCCTGACTTACACAGGGGTGTCCTGACTTACACAGGGTGTCCTGACTTACACAGGGGAGTCCTGACTTACACAGGGGTGTCCTGACTTACACAGGGGTGTCCTGACTTACACAGGGGTGTCCTGACTTACACAGGGGAGTCCTGACTTACACAGGGGTGTCCTGACTTACACAGGGGTGTCCTGACTTACACAGGGGTGTCCTGACTTACACAGGGGAGTCCTGACTTAAACAGGGGAGTCCTGACTTACACAGGGGTGTCCTGACTTACACAGGGGTGTCCTGACTTAAACAGGGGAGTCCTGACTTACACAGGGGTGTCCAGACTTACACAGGGGTGTCCTGACTTACACAGGGGAGTCCTGACTTACACAGGGGAGTCCTGACTTAAACAGGGGAGTCCTGACTTACACAGGGGTGTCCTGACTTACACAGGGGTGTCCTGACTTACACAGGGTGTCCTGACTTACACAGGGGAGTCCTGACTTACACAGGGTGTCCTGACTTACACAGGGGTGTCCTGACTTAAACAGGGGAGTCCTGACTTACACAGGGGTGTCCAGACTTACACAGGGGAGTCCTGACTTACACAGGGGAGTCCTGACTTAAACAGGGGAGTCCTGACTTACACAGGGGAGTCCTGACTTACACAGGGGTGTCCTGACTTACACAGGGGTGTCCTGACTTACACAGGGGTGTCCTGACTTACACAGGGGAGTCCTGACTTACACAGGGGTGTCCTGACTTACACAGGGGTGTCCTGACTTACACAGGGGTGTCCTGACTTACACAGGGGAGTCCTGACTTACACAGGGGTGTCCTGACTTACACAGGGGTGTCCTGACTTACACAGGGGTGTCCTGACTTACACAGGGGAGTCCTGACTTAAACAGGGGAGTCCTGACTTACACAGGGGTGTCCTGACTTACACAGGGGTGTCCTGACTTAAACAGGGGAGTCCTGACTTACACAGGGGTGTCCAGACTTACACAGGGGTGTCCTGACTTACACAGGGGAGTCCTGACTTAAACAGGGGAGTCCTGACTTACACAGGGGTGTCCTGACTTACACAGGGGAGTCCTGACTTAAACAGGGGAGTCCTGACTTAAACAGGGGAGTCCTGACTTACACAGGGGTGTCCTGACTTACACAGGGGTGTCCTGACTTACACAGGGGAGTCCTGACTTAAACAGGGGAGTCCTGACTTAAACAGGGGAGTCCTGACTTACACAGGGGTGTCCTGACTTACACAGGGGTGTCCTGACTTACACAGGGGTGTCCTGACTTACACAGGGGAGTCCTGACTTACACAGGGTGTCCTGACTTACACAGGGGTGTCCTGACTTAAACAGGGGAGTCCTGACTTACACAGGGGTGTCCAGACTTACACAGGGGTGTCCTGACTTACACAGGGGTGTCCTGACTTACACAGGGGAGTCCTGACTTACACAGGGGTGTCCTGACTTACACAGGGGTGTCCTGACTTACACAGGGGTGTCCTGACTTACACAGGGGAGTCCTGACTTACACAGGGGTGTCCTGACTTACACAGGGGAGTCCTGACTTAAAAAAGTGTCCCGCTACTGAAACGTGTTAGCAACATGCTTAATCAATGCTAGCAAACATGCTAATTCATGCTAGCAATGCGTTAAGGCATACAGGCAGCATTCTAATTCATGCTAGCAACGTGTTAAATCATACTGGCAATGTGAAAAAACATGTTAGCAGCATGCTAATTCATGTTGGTAAAATGTTGAATAATACTAGCAATGTGTAAAAACATGCTAGTGATGTATGCTAATTCATGTTAACAACCTGCTAATTGATTCTAGCAATGTGCTTAGACATGCTAGCAAAATGTTTAATCATGCTAGCAATGTTCTTAACTAGCAGTGTGCTATTTCATGCTAGTAATGTGTTAATTCATGTTAGCAATGTTAAATCATACTAGCAATGTGTAAAAACATGCTAACGATATTTGCTAATTAATGCTTGCAATGTGTTAAAATATGTCAGGAATGTGCTAAAACATGTTAGCAGCATGCTAATTCATGCTAGTAATGTGCACATCTTGTAACGTGTCTACTTGCAAGACAATGAGAGTTAACAGACCAGACTTACACAAAGTCTGTTTACTAGATCAGTTCCATTGATTACTCATGGCTTTATTCTGTTCACACAGGAATAATTGTATTTTTTTATTCCTTACATGATAAGGGCTGAAAGGATGGGAAAAAAGACTGGTCATCTCGGACCGGGCTCACATTGGTAATATATTTTATATTACTAACTATAAATAACAGTGTTTTTTATATATAGTGTACTTTAGAATACTGTGATGGTGGAAAATACATATAATGGAAAAGGATCTTCTGATTTCATGTATTTCTGTCAGTATTTGACTTTCATCAGGCCGTTGATGGACTTCAGGAGGTTCAGAGACAAGCTCAGGAAGGAAAAAAGTAAGTTGTGCTGATGGGTTTGTGCTGGTTTGGTGCTGAAATAACCAACAACCATTCTGTTCAAAGCACTTTCCATAAATATACTTTTTTGTAGTGATGTAAAGTAAACTATTATCCATCATAAAATTAACCTTTATCAAAAGTAGGTCATTTTAGATCAATCAAATGTCCAAATCCTCCCTTAAAATGGTGATTTTGGCCTGTCTCACCTCAGTTTGATCAAACATATGCTTTAAAAACTTCATGTAGCCTACATTTAATTATTATGTTGGCTAGGCTGGAACATCAAAACTATGTTAAATCCCATAGACTTTCACCAAGGGGTTCAAAACATTTTTACAATAATTCCAATAGAGAGAAAAGCTTCATCCACCAAGTATCTATCGTGCATGAATTAGCATGTTGTTAGCATATTTTATCATGTTTGTAACATGAATTATCAGGTTGCTAGCATGTTTTAGTATTTTGAATTATATATATAAGCATTTTCCTTGCATTTTTATCTATCGTACATGAATTAGCATGTTGTTAGCATATTTTATGAAGTTTCTAACATGAATTATCAGGTTGCTAGCATGTTTTAGTATTTTGAATTATATAAGCATTTTCCTTGCATTTTTATCTATCGTGCATGAATTAGCATGTTGTTAGCATATTTTATCATGTTTCTAACATGAATTATCAGGTTGCTAGCATGTTTTAGTATTTTGTATTATATATATAAGCATTTTCCTTGCATTTTTAACATAGCTTGCATGAATTAGCATGCTTCTAGCATATTTTAGTATCCTACATAGATAGGATGATTTAAAATTTGCCAAGATGTTTTAACACATGCTAGCATGAATTAGAACATTGCTAACGTGTTTTATCATATTGCTAGCATTATTTAGCATGCCAATTAACATGTTAATTAATGCTAGCTATGTACTAAAATAAGCTAGCAGCATGCTAATTAATGTCAACAATGTGTTGAACATGCTAGCTCACATGCTACAAATATGCTATAATGCTAGACACATAACAAGACATGCTAACGACATGAAAAAACAGGAGGGAAGTTTAAAAAACTTTTCTAACTTTATGTATGTTAATTTTTTCGAAGAAAACGAAATCGCACAAATCAAGGTTTTACACCGTATTCATTACTGTAGTTTGGTGCAAACGTATTGAATTAATAATAGTAATAATACATTGTGTTTATACTGAAGCTTTTTTATACAAAGTGCAACAAACATCAATAAATAAATGCAAAAAAAAAAAAACGGAATTTTTTTTTTAATAGTTGTTGTTTTATAGTGTTTCTGCTGATTGTAACCGTGTTTATGTTTGCTCACAGCATAGGAACGACTAAGAAAGGCATCGGACCCACGTACGCCTGTAAAGCGTCTCGCACCGGGCTTCGCATCTGTGACCTGATGGCAGATTTCAGCGAGTTTTCTACGAGGTAAATGATCTTTCTAATGCAGGTGATGTCAGTGATCAGCGATCATCTGACCTGTTCTGTCCTCCTGAAGGGTGAAGAACCTCGTGCTGCAGTACCAGTCCATGTATCCCACCCTTAAAGTGGACGTCGAGGGCGAGCTGAAGAAGCTAAAGGTCAGTTAAACCGGAGACGCTGGCGGTGTGTGTTACGCCGGCGTCTCTGATCCGCTCTCTCTCCTGCAGGACTACGCCGAGAGGATCCGACCTCTGGTCAGAGACGGGGTCTATTTCATGTATGATGCGATTCACGGACCCCCGAAGAAAATCCTGGTGGAGGGGGCGAACGCTGCTCTCCTTGACATTGACTTTGGTAAGAACATGCGCCGCTTTGTGTTTGGGACTTTTTTAATTTTATTCAACATGTTAAAAGACAACAAGAACAAACAAGATCATCAGCAGATAACAGTCATGTTCAAAGAAGAAGTCTTGTCCTATTGTTTTCATCATTAGATATATAATTAAATAAAAATCAACAATAAATATTAAAAGAAAATTATACTTAGACATCCATAGAAACGCCTGATTCAATAGTTCTTTGGCTTTATTTAATATTGCTAATTATTTTTATATATTTTTTTGTTTTAATATACTTTATATGAGGTTTCCAGCTTAATTTACCATCAATTCAACTTCCGTGTTAGTTTATTTTCATCAAATCAAATCTTCATCCTACTGTATCCAGTAGCTTCTCCAAAGTTTCACCACAGAATATTAGGTTTGTGTCATCAGCAAAAAGAATGGTTTCCACAATTTGTGACATTTCACATATTTTATTTATATAGAGGTTAAATAATAATGGCCCCAACATTGAACCCTGTGGCACCCCACATGTAACCTGCAGCTGTTGATTTGTCTTTCAACATATTGGACTTGGAAAGATGTCAGATTGAAACCTATTATGCCTATTTACAAAGTCTTGATTGTGTTTTTAATAGGGCTGTGCAAAAATTAATTGCGATTAATCGCATCCAAAATAAAAGTCTGTGTTTACATAATATATTTGTGTGTGCTGTATATAATTATTTTGTATATATAAATACACACACATGCATGTATATATTTAAGAAAATGTGTTATTCATATATAAAATATTTATATTTATATAATATAGATTATGTATTTATTTATATATACAGAATTTAAGCGCAAATAATTCTTAAATATATACATGCATGCATATGTATTTATATATACAAAATAATTATATACAGCACACACAAATATATTATGTAAACACAGACTTTTATTTTGGATGCGATTAATCGCAATTAATTTTTGCACAGCCCTAGTTTTTAATCTTTACTAGCACAGGTTTTCATGATTTAATGTTGATTATTCTCCATTGAAACGCTGTCAAATCACGAGCCAATCAGGTGTATTTGCGTATAAGCCGAATCTGCGCGGATTTAGCGCAAATACGCAACTCGTGATCCTCTTGATATATTAAATACAGCGTATTGAACAGAATCTGCGCATTTCTGGCTCACTTGAACACACACGTCACTACGCAACAAATAATGGCGCGCTTGTTCACTTGCATTGAAGTAATTGCGAATATTAAAAAAGCAATTGGTGAACAGAAAAGACATTGTTATTTTCCAGCATCCAACATGTTCTGTGTACTGATCTGTCCACCTAACACACATTTTTGGGAAAAATAAATAAATAAATAAATAAAATAAAAAAAGGCTGTTAAAATCGATTCCCTATTATTCGTTTTTGATACTTGTGTTGGTTGGTCCGATCGATTGTGTAATCGATTTTCGAACGTAAAGTGACAGCCCTACTAAAAAGAGATCAAAATAGGTCCTCTGTAAATGGTTGTTTGCCTTCCTTCCAGGAACGTACCCGTTCGTGACATCGTCCAACTGCACCGTGGGTGGCGTGTGCACCGGCCTCGGCATTCCCCCCGCAAACATCGGAGATGTGTATGGAGTATCAAAGGCCTACACCACCAGAGTCGGGATTGGAGCCTTTCCCACAGAACAACTCAATGTAAGAGTCGGACTGAACCTGGAAACTTATTTATAGTGAACAAATGTAGGGTTGAACTTTGAACTTCGGGCTCACGATATGCCAAAATGCTTGGTGAGTATTTGCTTAAACAATATTGCTTATGTCTGAAGTAAACATAAACAATTGGGAAATAAGTTGCGTGTGTATCAGCCTATTGGATCCGTGCATTCGGTCTTAAAGTGACGGCAGCCTAATAAACCTGACGCCGTCTGTGTCATTAATGATAATCAAACAACAAAAGACAAAGAGAAAATCTCTCACTACTCTTTAGTAGATTTATTAGATTAATCTATATTTAATTTATACAGTGAAGACTATGCGGTGTTTTACATTTGGTTACTTTCTAGGGGTGTAACGATACCTTCATGTCACAATACTGAACTCACGATACGATATTATTGCGATACTCAGAAACATATGATACAAGGTTACTGTACATTAAAATGCTAAGTTTGATATTACATTGTGTGTGTAAATGAATAGACTTGGACTTGGTGCTGAAACCCAAAGCACAGACAATAGAGACCAGAATAACAATATTCATGATTCTGAAGCGGAAAACACTGAATTATTGTAGATGAATTTGTCACTAGATATATTTAAAATAAACCACTTTTTACTCTTAACATCAGACCTGTGGCATTATCAGGACACACACATATCCCCCAGTGCATTATTATACTTTATATATAGTAGTTTAATTTAGTACTGACACTAAAACTCCTAAAATAAAAGTAATTTTTATTTTGGGTGAACTATCCACAATATATATTGTTGCATTTTTGTACTGGGATGTATTGTGACTTGATATATTGTTACACCACTATTAATTTCTGTTGGTAAAGACAGATTTCTGTTGTGTTTATTTTTATCATTCATTTCACAGGAATGTTATATTAGTTGAGCTCTAAGCTGTTGCCAGTCACCTCTAAGACAGGGAATGGGATATGTTGCACATGTTGCTTGCCAATCAATAGAGGTTATGCGGTCCTACACACTGAGTGGCAGAAACACTGAGTGGCAGTCTGTGTGATATGATATATATATATATATATATATGAAGAGTTCAGATGCAAAAGCCTCTAAATGCCATTTGAAATTTTCATCTTTAATGATGATTTTTATCAAACTTGTATATTTAAGTTCAGTAATTTCACTTAAATAACAATTAATAGGTAATTATCATTGCAATTTAAGTGAAATTACTGATCTTAAATATACAAGTTTGATAAAAAATTATCATTCTAGAAGAAAATTTAAAATGGCACTTAGAGGCTTTTGCATCTGAACTCTTCATATATATATATATAGCATTGACATAAATGATCACATGGATTTAGACCTATATTGTATTTATATAAACTAAGCGTTCACAGGCAAATTTGCTTTATTTATTTCCCCCAGGCTCATATACATGTCAGGAAACATGATTCCTGCTGCATTCATGATTACTGGATCTTTGATAAGTTGTAAGAAACATTATATCGAGTCCAACCTTTAGTTAATCATTTGTTTTCACAATGTTTTCCCAGTTTACCTATTAAATCCAGTCACTCAGCAGCTCTTCTGCCACTCAGTCCGGCTGGAAAGTGACATCAGCTATTGGCTGATCTCATGTGAGTGACAGGTTGCCCCGCCCACACCATCAGAGAAGAGGAGAGATGCTGCAAGAGGAAGTTATTCAGATTCAAGATTATGAGGAATTGAATTCTGCAATATTCCATAAAAAATAAGAATTGTCCATTTTTATTTTATTGTGACTTTTAGTATCAACTTTGTCTCGAATATTTCTCCTACATTAACATCTGACTTCAGCAACACCTGAGATCTGATTTGCCATGACCTCTGAGTGACCTCTGACCCTGTTTTTTTCAGGCCGTAGGTGAGCTTCTGCAGACCCGAGGTCACGAGGTGGGCGTGACCACCGGCAGAAAGAGACGTTGTGGTTGGCTGGACTTGGTTATTCTCAAATACGCTCATATGATCAACGGATTTACTGGGTGAGTCTCTCAGTCCTGTGTATGAGTGTGTTTGCTAACATACTGAAATATGCTGAATACTATTTTTAATGATATGTGATATAGTGTGTAACACAAGGGTGCCACACAAGTGCTTAAAAGTGAAACCAAAGCATCTCAGATCGCCCCCCGGTGGCTGGTCCCAGCATAGCTCATAAACCTAGTGTTTTGATCGCCCCCCGGTGGCTGGTCCCAGTATAGCTCATAAACCTAGTGTTTTGATCGCCCCCCGGTGGCTGGTCCCGGTATAGCTCATAAACCCAGTGTTTTGATCGCCCCCCGGTGGCTGGTCCCAGTATAGCTCGTAAACCCAGTGTTTTTAATGCCCCCCGGTGGCTGGTCCCAGTATAGCTCGTAAACCTAGTGTTTTTAATGCCCCCCGGTGGCTGGTCCCAGTATAGCTCATAAACTCAGAGTCTCGATTGACCCCCGGTGGCAGGCCCCAGTATAGCTCATAAACCCAGTGTTTTGATCGCCCCCCGGTGGCTGGTCCCAGTATAGCTCGTAAACCTAGTGTTTTTAATGCCCCCCGGTGGCTGGTCCCAGTATAGCTCATAAACTCAGAGTCTCGATTGACCCCCAGTGGCTGGTCCCAGTATAGCTCATAAACCCAGAGTCTCGCTCGCCCCCCGGTGGCTGGTCCCAGTATAGCTCATAAACCTAGTGTTTTGAACACCCCCTGGTGGCTGGTCCCAGTATAGCTCATAAACCCAGAGTCTCGCTCGCCCCCCGGTGGCTGGTCCCAGTATAGACGAATCCGGCGAAACTACCGGAAGTAAGCGGGCGCCATTACTGAGCTGTTGCTGGGTAGCATTGCGCCATTGCCTTCTATTGTTTTAGTTGCAACTTGCGTCCACTGGAATAAACAGCTCGCGATTTACGACTGTCACTAACGTTACAACGTTACCCCTTGTATAATGTCGAGTGGGTAAACAGTTTCCGTTATAAATTGTTTCAATGGTGGCAGTAAAATTTCAATTTTGAAGAGAAAACATTGTGAATACCCCGGGTCGACTGCCTCTGTCTGGTGCCGTACGGTTTACACAGATTTCCTGGGCGAGTACAAGACGCGGACATTCGCGTATAATAACAATTATTTAATGACATAAGTAAAAAAATATAATAAATGTGTGATATAGTGATCAGCAAAATCTCCTCTCTTGTTATTTTTTCTATTTAATATGGTCATTAAATGGCTTTCCTGAGCTGAATGTAACGTTATGTGACATAATTGTTCTCCTGCTGTTATATATTGACCTCTTTCCATGGTTTAAAAACAGTAGTTGGTCGATATTATGTATACTTTCTAGCTGTAACGTTACCTTACCCATGCCCGTTGCAATGTAAAAATGAGATAAATAATGCACACAAATGAAAAACATGAAATTGTTTATTTGATTTCATTTATTTATTTATTTATTGTTGCCAAATGGACAGATCTTTTTTTAGTTTCCTCGGTAGCAAACGTTAGCCTAGCTTGCTTGCCAAGCTATTTTCATAAATAATCTGTAAGATCGTTTGTACCTTCATCTTTGACTGGAGGCCAATGTCTAACATCATCAACCCAACAAGTCTGCCTGGCTGTAGCTGTCATCGAGGGTGCGTTATCACCTTATCTCCGAGGTTTGTTTACATACCGGTGCATATGTCTATGCCGGTGTAACAGCTCAGTAATGGCGTCGCCACAAGATGGCAGCCTACACAAGAACGCTCGTCGGATTCGTCTATAGCTCATAAACCCAGAGTCTCAAACGCCCCCCAGTGGCTGGCCCCAGTATAACTCATAAACGCAGTGTTTTGAACACCCCCCGGTGGCTGGTCCCAGTATAGCTCATAAACCCAGAGTCTCAATCGCTCCCCAGTGGCTGGCCCCAGTATAACTCATAAACCCAGTGTTTTGAGCGCCCCCGGTGGCTGGTCCCAGTATAGCTCATAAACCCAGAGTCTCAAACGCCCCCCAGTGGCTGGCCCCAGTATAACTCATAAACGCAGTGTTTTGAACACCCCCCGGTGGCTGGTCCCAGTATAGCTCATAAACCCAGAGTCTCAATCGCTCCCCAGTGGCTGGTCCCAGTATAGCTCATAAACCTGAGTCTGAGTCTCCCCATGAAGTCTAAATGGGACGTGATGGAAACTAAACAATCAAATTACTATTCAGATACATTTTTTTCAAAGACGTTTTCAGTTGTTTTAGGTAGCTTTTATCACGCTGCTTTAAGTTTAAATGTTCATTTTTTTAAGGCTTGATTTTCATTTTTTCCACTTCAAGGTTCGTTTTTTTTTTTTTCATTGAGGTTTTTTGGGGGATTTTCAGGAGGAGATTTACTGTACTGTACTGTGAGTGAGAAAACAGAAGCATGCCACTTTGTTGTCACATGACCTTGTGTAGATCAGTGAGAGATCCAGAAATAAATACAGGGATTCTGCATAAAATGTGCTTTAAAAAAAAAAACCATGTAATTAAACGGTTGTTTTCTGCTTTTCTTCAGCATCGCTTTGACTAAACTGGACATCCTTGATGTTTTGGATGAAATCAAAGTGGGCGTGGCCTATAAGATCAACGGCAAACGAATTCCGCATTTCCCAGGTAAAATTAGCTAGATATTCCATAGATGTGTTATGAGCGGTGCTGGGGAGTAAGAAACTGAAACCAGTGACACTACTACTGGAACTACACCGCTTTAGTCATTCAAGTCTATAAGTTTGTGATATTGAATGACTAAATAAAGGCAAGAACCAGTTTATTTCTAGTGCACTGACAAAGAAGCATAAAAACATATTTTACAATCCAAATGTTTTAATGGAAGTGTATCTGTTAAATGCAATTAATAAATGATCTAATACCATTAAATATAAAGTGTCTGTATAATGTGTGTTATTTTATTGCTTGTTTTATGGACAGCTTGGGTTGATCCGGCCAATAAGAGACTGTTAGCTCAAATTCTTCTTTTAATATTCAAATGTGTCATTACAAATGTCAAAAACGTGTTTTTAAACCATGTAGACACTGAGATCATCATCGGGCCTCAGCGGCGAACCGGTGAAATTTGAGAGTTTGATTCACTGATTCAAAACAAATGATTCATGAAGGTTTCGAAGCACTCTCTCTCTCTCTCTCTCTCTCTCTGCTTTTAGCCAACCTGGAGGTCCTGCAGAAGGTGGAGGTTGAATATGAGACTTTTCCCGGGTGGAAATCGGACACTTCATCGGCCCGGAAGTGGAACGATCTTCCTCCTAAAGCTCAGAACTACATCCGCTTCGTGGAGAACCACATCAGTGTTCCTAGTAAGTCCTTCATTCCTCAGTGTATACACATCATTACACCATCGTCCTGTGGATTAAAACCCCTGTTTGGATCTCTTCAACACAGTTAAGTGGGTCGGTGTTGGGAAATCCAGGGAATGTATGATCCAGATGTTCTAGACGTGAGGATTCTCCTGAAGACGATCAGCACTCAGGAAACTGATGATGGAAGATCAACTCTGAACGGCTCTTCATGTCCTGGCATTATAATGATCTTTCTGTCCGTCTCAGATCGATTATTGATCATAACACACGTTTACACCCGTCGTTGATTGTGGCTGTAATGCAGTTTTGAGTTTTTTTGGGATTCGATTGACCCTGTTTGTCAAAGTGGCATTTCATTGTGTTGTAGACTTGCACTGTATTGTTTCCCGCGTTCATATGTGAGACATATAAATGAAAATGTGCAAAGAGTTTTGTTGTTGTTGTTGTTTTTTCCCCATTTTTGTTTGTAATACCATGAAATATGAAGTGTCTGTATAATGTGTTATTTTATTAAATTGCGGGGCGTTTGATGTTCTGCACTTTAAGTGCTGCTGAATACGATTTTTTTTAACCCCTTAAAGGTCACCGTCCCGGTACCGGGACACCTAAATTTACTTCACGATATTTCTATTAAATCCTAATCTAATTATGACAAATTATATATCCTTGGAAAGGTCTAAGACTTCTAAATAGATATTCTACCCCTGTTTTGTTTTAAAAATTATGTAGGAAGAGTAATTGATGAATTTATGACAAGAGTGCACCTAAAAAAAATCTGCATCATAACAGGAGTTTTGACCTTTGTCACAAAAAGTCGATGCACCCACTTTTAATAATTGAAACTTCTGTTTTTATGCTAAAAGTTCATAAAAACATATAATCTAGTATTTTTCAATAAAAAATAAAAAATTATAGTACAATATTATCCTCTAAAAATGATAATATTTATATTTATTATCCTCTAAAATATAATATAATTGTTTTATCGCCTTTTTTATTATATCACATATTTTAGTAGTTATCATAAATTCGGTATCATTTGAAAGCTTATAAAATCAGAATTCATCGTGTGAAAACTGCTTTATAATTGAACGTTGCGTTACCATAGAAACGGTACTTGTTTTATCAGGCTCCTCCCCTTTTGGGCGTCATTATATTTCATAATTTATGATCAAAACCTTTTCTAATCTGGACAAAATTGATATTGTCAGAAAGGTCTGAGTCTCAAGGTTCCAAATTTGTGACAGAATTGATATTTGGACAGAAATGTATTAATTTGTTAAGGCAGAATGTATACAACTAAATTCAATGGAATTCAATGGCACCCGGTGGCTATTTTTGGTACTACGCCTAAACAAAATCTCATGGGAACTTCAATGTTTGTGATATCAACTTGAAATTTGGAACATAACTTGATAAGATTTATGGCTTTGATTTTATAGAAATTTTAGAGTAAAAAATATTTTGTAAAATATATATTTTATATAAAATAAAAAATATATAGTGCAGTATATTTGATTTACTGTAAATTTAAACCTCACTAACTTTTTCATACTTTCATTTTTTGAAGTGTTTTCACTTCAGCAATATTCTGCTGAGTGTTTTCTTTAAAACAAGACCAAACTTGGGTATATTCCAAAGCATTCTTAAATTGCAACCATTCAAGTTTGAATAGTGCATTTTAACCCCCATTCTCAAAAGGGGTTGTGACAGCTAAGGGGTTAAATATATATTTCCAGTAAAACAGATGTGGCACGCAGATTTATTCATAGGCTTCTGGCATATGAAACACTCCCAGCGTTTTGTCTGATGTCAGATATAATTAGTTTAGGCAGACGATTAGCTGTGTCAGAAATAGATCGGGTGGAGAACACACTGTTCTTCTCATCCATGCCAAGAAGATGTGATCTCAGACGAACTGTAGTGCTGGGACAATCCCAGAACAACCATCGGTCTGTGGAACGATCCCAGTCGGGACCACAAACACTTCAGGAATGAGGGCAACGGGCAAGCCAAATAATCAGACCGTGTGTAGTGTGCTCGCCACTCCCACACACACACACACACACACACACAACAACTACCTCTCCCACACACACAACTAACCTCTGCCACCCCCACGCGCACACAAACACACACTCAGCTAACCTCAGCCACTCACACAACTTACAACAGGTTAAAAAAAAAAAAGTACTTCACAATACATCCGCCAAAACACAGCACAAACGTATAGATGAGAAGTAAACGAAACAAATAACATATACTTTGTGTTATTTAAAATGTAAATTTTTTGTACGATCTCTCGCTAAATTGAGGTATTACAGTTTTTCTCGATTGTTTACACAGATTTTCTGAAAGAGTGCCTCATATTCACAGAACTCTACACACAAATGTAAAAACACTCGCACAATTGGCAAAACCCCTCAATTTATCCTGCAAAATGAAACTTTACATTCAAAACAATGTTATTTCTTCTCAAAATGGTATTTTGTTTTCAAATGACACACACAAACCATCACATGAATAGACATTTATAAGAACCAGTTGAACACTGATGTGCTCAATGTAAAACACTTCTTCTCCATTCATCATAATGACTTGGGCCTTTTTTGTTCAGTGTTACACTTACTACAGACATTACATATAAGTGTGTTGTAAAATATTTGAGAATATTGTTTTTTATACCCAGAACACACAAATACACGGTAACAAATATATTTTATTTTTCCCACAAAATCAATGGGAGATAGATCCCACATTTTGTACACCCCAACCAACACAAAGTTAAAAAGAAAAAAAGAAAAAAAAAATATCTATGCTGCATCCTCTCTTTGGTTTTGGTATTTTATGCTAAAGCTCTGATAGCTAATTGTAAAACTGTGTGACTGACTGGTGTTTGCCCATGTGACAAGTCAGTGTGAATATTGTGCCAAATGCAGAGAATTGTGTGTAGTGTTTTGAAAAACGTGTGTTTTAGAACTGCAATTTGAGTGTAAAGCAGGAATTGTGCTTGTAGTTCAGCAGAATTGGTTCAGGGGGTTGGTGAATGAGTTGCGTGTTGTGGTCATTGTGTCTCAAGTACCAGAAAATGTGTGTAAACAATCGAGAAAAACTGTATTGACAACAACATAATATTAAACCCATTTCCGGCAGGGGGCGCTAAGCGCGTGCCCGCGGCTGGAAGCGCGCGAAGAAGAACCAGAAACCTTTAAAGCGCGAACGCGTGTTGTTTTCCTTCACGCTCGCGCTCTTGATTAGTTCTGTTTTTGAGTTTGTTTATTTTTTTTGTTTTGTTTTTCCTTTTCCTTATCTTTAATCGTCGTGTTTTATAACCTGTCGTTTTTAAAATGCCTAAGAGATCCTATCCTTTCAGCGAAAGCTTCTCCTCGCAGTATAAAGTCCATGTCGGCCTGAAGGAGATCAATAACTGTGGCGTTTTTGGACTCAAATACAAACAAGAGATTTACGGTGAGATATAAACATGTTTATTACACTTATAACGGCATTAGAGTGAAAAATTATGCAATGCCAACTATACACGTCACTGGGGTGTTTTATAATCGGTGTAATCTTTGAAACTAATGCAGTTGTAGTGATTTGATGGTCATGTCAATGCTGATTAATACTGACAATTATTACCAGCTTCAGTTTAAACGATGATCACTTATTATTACTCAGTTTTTATTACGTTAATTTCGTGTAGCTCTTTAAAAATTATATATTGCTGGTGAGGTAATCAGATTCTTAGAAAGGTAGAACATGATTTATAATCAATATTAAATATGATGAATATTGTCTAAACTATATAAAGTGATTCATCTTACCAGCAGTTTGTTAAACATTGGTACTAATCTCAGTGTCTTTATTAGAGATGCACATATTGGCCACCATATCGGTATCGCCCGATATTTGTTCATTTTTAATCACTTGATAAGAATTGAGCTGATTTATTAAATCTGATAAATGTATGATTTCCTTCATACGCTTGAAATATGATTGAAATCACTGTTTAAAAACACAAAGGAAACAACAGTTCAGTGCAGCACCTGTCTGTCATATCGGCTACATAACATTATTATAATGAGAATATTATTATTATTATTGGGGCATGGCTTTTAATGGTAGATTTGTTTTTCTAATCGGGCTCTCAAAAAAAGGAAAAATAGATTTATTGAGTAATATATCGGTTACTGGCTTTATTGGTATCAGACAATTTTTTTCATATCTGTGCATCCATAGTCTTTGAGTTTTCCTAATGTGTCTATAAACTGTTTTAATTAGACAAGACCAAAAGCCTGCTGTTCAACGGGACCAAAGCCGTGATGGGTCGCATCTGGAAGGCGGACGGGGAGGAGAAGTGTCCGGATCCGGTCCCGGGACATCAGACGCTCCTCCGCGGACAGACCATCATCGGGCTCGACGGGAGACTGAAGAAAGCAGACGCTGCTCCAGGTGAGGGTCAGTGACCTCGACGTCATGCGCTGGGGTTTGTGCACAGGCGTTCTGGCCAGGGCCTAACTTTATTTCGGAAGAATATTGTTTTGTAGTCAATGTTGAGACGACATATCTTGATCTCGTTTGAATTGTGCCCTAAATTACAAATTACACATATGATGTTTGTCAATTTTAAAAGATGTATTTTAAAGTCAAGAAGTCGCAGTTTGATGTAAAACTGCTGAGGTGTATGACTGTTAAAATACATAATTACAAAGAGTAGAGCCCGACCGATAAAGGATTTTGAAGGCCGATACCGATACAAATATTTGTTGGTTTTAAAATCCGATATTCCGATATATCAGCCGATATTATTATTTTTTTCATTATTATTATTATTTCAGAAACGTGCAACAGATATCCCTAACATGAGTTATTTGTAGTTATTTATGAGTTTTAACTAAAATAATATGATTAATATGAATATGTTTTCACAACAAAACAGAGGAACATCAAAATATATTAAAGTTCTGATAAATAAAATAATAATTAGTCCATACATTGCCTTATCTGCTACCTTATAATTACAATGTCAGCTTGCTTATCCCTTTACCTGCACTTTTTAAATTCTTTCCATCAAGCTACATCAAACCATTTTCAATCATCAGTTGCTGCCTGCCTTCTAAAACCTACTATTTAGCGATTCGAATCTAAATCCATTACAGAACGACAGTCTGCAACGCACACTTGGCGTCATTGGATTTCACACGCGTGTAAAAGAAAAGCTAACTTTTAAGCTCAAGATGCGTTTGATACTTTTTCTCTGTCTAAATGTTCAGGATGTGTGGCGCGTTATAAACGAGTGTTGCCAACAGGGACGGTGTAGAGTGCCCTCTGGTGGACAAACTATACAACTCCAACACTCATGACATGGTTGAAGCGTGATTCATCCGTTTTTATTTTTATTTTTGAAATATTAATTTATCGGCCATTAT